AGCCTGCTTCTCCCCCTGCTTGTGTTCTCTCTCTGTCTCTGTCAAATAAATAAAATCTTTAAAAAGAAAGAAAAAAGAAAAGAAAGTTTACAGCTATTATTTCATAGAATTAGAAGGTACCTCATTTGCTCATGAGAAAATGAAGAGCCAACGAAGTCAGGTCACACTGCTAATTCATGCTGGGTCTTGGACTGAAAGCCTGGTCTTGCCAAATCTCTTTTCACTGATGGCACTGCCATTGGGGCCACCTTCATAGGTCCAGCGGATACGGTGACCACCTAGTAGGCGACCCAGGACTTTCGGGATGTCCCTGCTCCAACACAAAATCTCCTTTACTGCTTGAGATGCTACCCCTCTTTGGGTGGAATCCAGGAGGTCCTTTTGGAGATGAATTTGTAACCCTTTGTCCCTGAGAAATGGAAGCCTTTGACAATCCCCCCCCCCCAAAAAAAAAGGAAAGAAGAGAGAAAAAAAAAAACTAGTTATCTAGCCTTGTTTTCCTTTTTAACTGTTGTGGGCCTGGGAAGTTCTTCCTGATGTCTAACCTAAAATGAAAATCTATCATGCTGTGCAGTTTAGTGGTGAAGGAAAAGGAACCCAGCTAGACATTCGGTGTGCCTGAACCCTGAGGGTTTCCGAGCGCTCACCAAGCAGGGGAAACCCCTGAGCCTTCATTCCCTACCCCCTTGTGCTGGCTTCACTGGGCGCGGGAGAAGTAATTTAACTTACAACTTAAGCAAAGCCTGTGGGAGGCCCCTGAGCTCAGCTGGAAGAGAAAGGGGATATTTTTGCCTTCTAGAGGAAGAAAACTCATTTTCCCAATGCACCCCCACCCCCTCCTCCTGTGCAGATGAGCTTAATTTTCTTCCCCTCTTAATGAAGATGGATCAAAGCCAAGCTATATATTCAAGGGGGAGCCAGGCAGGGGAGCTGAGTGAGGGGGGGGAGGGGGCAGAAACAGAGCTTCTCTCATGGAGAGGAAGTAATTAATTTTAAGAGAGAGCAAAGATAGGGAAGCTCTTGGTAATAGAGTGTCGAACTCCAAATGCAGGTGGCTAAAAATTAAGTCAGAGCGTGGAGAGTTTCTTTTGTTTGCTCATTCATTCACTCCTTGATTCAACAAATATTTATTAGGCACCCACTGTGCACAGGCAGAGACCTCAAGCTGGCATCAGGAGAGGGCCCAGATCTTCATAACCATAGCAGGGCTCAAGTAATTGGACTGGGACAGGGAGAGGTCGGATCTGGCAACCGAAGCCTCTTGTCACCATTGGCCGAAGTACCACGAAATGGTTGAATGTATCAACCGTTTGGATTTAGGATTCATTGCTTTGTTGACCCCAGCTGCATCCAACCAGCTTGTCCCATCACGGGTTAGGTAATAATGTTGTCCATTTGCTTTTCCATTCACTGATTGCACTGTTCTCTGACTGAGTTCTGACCTCAAGCCAAAAAATTAGATTAGCCCTTCTCCTTTCATTGTCTGTTGTGATATAACAACGGACTATGAAGACAACAGACTGCTTAGTGCTGCAATAAGGAACCACGTTGATCAGAAAGGATTCTGTCATCCAAAGACAGAAATGGAATGATACAGAAAGCCGGAGGGACTGAAATTTGACATCAAAAAAAGCACATCTCGGCAGCAGAAGGTAACAGTGGGTCTGGAGCCTCCCTTGCTAGAACCCTTTATTAGCAGCCAGGGCACTTAATGAGATTGATTGCAGAGTGAGCTGGCCTGGAGGCAGGGGGATGGCAGACATGACCTTCAGAAGGCACTTGCAGTCCCAGGACCCTAAGACATGGAGGGCATCAGGAAAAAGAGAGGTCTGACCATCTTCGGCCCCCGGAGAGTTTGGGGAACTTCGCCGTGATGCAAACCTCCTTGCCCCTGAGCAGATCTGACAGTCGCCAGCTGGGATTTATCATATGGCATCTGGGAAGAGTTTCAGAAGTAAACACATGGTGACCCCCTCTGAGCCTTGTGAGCCGCCCTCTTCCTCGTGAGCTTCAAGAGGACACTTTCGTTCAAGTTCACCTGAGCAAAGAATCCAGGACCTTGCCACCAGCTCTGGCTCCATGACACCCACGCCCATGGGCTCCACGTGCCCCTCAGCTGGACCCCGGGCAGAGGGCCCACCAGCTGGGGCTGTGTCTTAAGGGAGTGTGCTGGGGACGCCGCACAGAAGCCCTGTTCACTGAGCCCCGGCTACACAGAAGTCTGGGCAGGCTAGGAGGCGTGGGGAAAGTTAATCTCAGCTTCTAGGCAGCGGCACGAGTCTGGAGCCTCATGGAACCCTTGTGCCCACACGATCAGAAGGGTCTCTGAGAAGCACGTGGATTGCAGCCCAGGGCCCTGCATGCCGGGCTGGGGGTCGGGGAGGCAGGCAAGACTGCTGTCCTGCAGGTTGGGCTGGCTGAGTGTCTGCCGTGCAGATGGGAATGCAGCCCCAGACTGCTCCGCCCGCCAGGCTACTCTGTGTCCTCAGCTCCGAGAGGTCGGGCTACCTGGAAGTTGTACACCTGCTCCGCTCACGCCTGCCTCCCCGTGTCAGCATTTTCTCCCCGGGGATCTGAACCGGGACGATATCATCCCTGCTCCCTTATTCTGCCTCCGGCACTCAGACGGCAGCCTTGGGGCTGGATGCTAGGAAGCCACGGGCCCCCCTGGGGCACCTGGGCACCCCCTACCACCACCCGGGGAGAGCCCCTCCCCCTCCCCCAGCCCCGGAGCCAGCCGTGCCTGCCGCGTGCCCTGGGCTCGGCACCAGCCCCGGGGACTGGAGGACTTACTTCTCAGAGGGATGGTAAGAGCAGGGTGGCTGGCAGGTCCTCTGAGGCTGCCGAACAGGGAACAGAGCTGCCAAAAGGATGTTGAAGTTTCGGGCTGATCGCCGGGTCAGGTAGGGAGCTCTCCTATGGACTGCGAGCCGAGTTCAGTGAGCAGGCTGATTGGCAGCTCATCGGGCGGGGGGCTCAGAGGGGGCGCCGTGCCAGCCCTGACCTGGAGAAGGAAGAGGAGTTAGGTCAACGGCTGCTGCATTGCAGTGCTTGTGAAGGGGAAGCTGTTTTGAAGTGGGTAGTGCCGGGATGGGGAGAGGACGTCATTTGTAGGTGTTGCTGGGTAGGAGAGTCTGGGGCAGGGAAAAACTCGCTGTACCTTGAGAGACCGGTGCCGGCTGACAGCAGGCTGTGTGTGTGCTTCTGTGTGTGTGTGTGTCTGTCTGTCTGTCTGTACCAGTGCTTGCCAGGAAGGTTCCAGCAGTTAGCACAGGGAACATGTAGTGCAGAAGGGGGGCTGGGGGAGGGGGCGTGGGATGTGGGGAGCAGGCGCTCTGTGCCACTGGAAAAAAGCAGAGATGTTGGCACCTTGAGGACCTTATTTTCATAGACTGCTCACCCCCTGGCCCCAGATGGGGGAGAGACAGGGATGGGGGTGACTGGAAACAGCTACCCTTCCTTGCAAAGATCCCCTGCAGTTAAGTTGAGGAGAGCATCCCTGTTGGAGGGAGGAGGGAATAAAGTTTGAGAAGTGGGGGAGCAGGTGAGCAACATGTTGGAGTTGCAACCCAGGCCTGGCAGACACTGGCCAGGTTTAGGGTCCTGGCCGGCAAGCCAGAGCTGCCAAACCCAGGTTTCTATAGACTGTGGCCACTGCCCCGCTAGGCTTCTATCTGCCACAAGCCTTCGGATTTGATCTGAACATGGCTGGTTTGGAAGCTGAAAAAACACCCTTTGATATTCTCCTTAGCTTCAACAGACAGCCCAGGGCTTGGGATTCCTGGACTTTTGAAAGGGGGCAACGAAAGGTTACTCGCTCTTGGAGCTGAAGGGACCAAGCTAGGCTCTCTTTCCTCGGGTACCAGCTGATCTGCCCCTTGCCAAGCAACCCTGGCTGTTCATTTTAAGGATGCTCAAGTGGCCTGGTGTTAGGACCCCCAATCTTTGTATGGCCTCAGCACACTCTGTCCACGTGCCTGCTTCTTGGGGTGGACTGAGCCTGTCTCACAGTATCTCTCAAGAGGGATGGGTGAAGAGGACCTTAAAACTCATCCAGCCCCCCAACTGGCTGAATGCTTGAAGTCTATAACATTTTTGCCAAGTGGTCCCCTGCTTGCAGAATCCACCTCAAGTGGCTGCCATTTGTGGCTTAGACTCATGGCACCAGCGCCCCCCCCAAGTTCTATGTGCTACTTTCCTCCCCTGTCTCCCCACAGAGTCACTGGGAAGCTAGCCTGACATTCAGCCCAGCCAGAGGGCCATGGCAGGACTTCCCAAAGGAGCGTCCATGGCTCTGCTCCCCATCTGCCTCTGCACAGACCCTGCTTCCTGGCGGGCTGTCCTCCCCACAACCCACCCCACTCCCAGGCCACAGCAGTCCTTAATTAGATCTGACTGTTGAGCCGGCACTAACCTCAACGCCTGAAGCCCCTGATGCCTCAGCCACATCTCAGCCCCTCAGACGCAGAAAACCTGGACTCCCGAGTGTAAGTGGGTCCCAGCCCAAGCTCAGGAATGGAGTTTCTTGATCTCTGGTTTTACTTAAAGAAAGAGATGGTACATAAAACAGGAGAGGAAGGAGTCCAAGGTCACAAGACAATTTTTTCAGCAGATAATGAGTGAGCAGTTTTTATGTGGAACACTCGCCGGAGCTGTTCCTGGGAGAGGACCTGCCACACACGAAGTCTTGGCCCCCACCCACATACACACCCAGGGTCCCCACTGAAGGGCTTAAGTGGGGCTTATTTCCAGCCTCGGGGATCTCCATAAGTAGTTAGCACTGACTAGTAAAAGTTGTCTCCCACCCCCCACCTGCCTGAACCTGCTTTTTCTACCGCCCAGCCCTCCCTGCTGCCTCCCCAGACCCCACAGAGGACAGAGGGACCATCTTCTATGTGGTCACCCCTCCCCGTCACTGCCCAGAGCCCGCCCACCCTTTGGCTTGTGTCTCTGTCTTCTCCACCTTTATCACAACTTCTGCCTGTTCTTTGCCCCCACAGCCACAATGAACGACAGAACACGTTTCTACATCCAGTGACTGGCCAGGTCCCAGAAGAAAACAACAAATTTAACTTGAAAACGTACGTCTGCCTCCCCCCCCCCCAGCCCCCCGCTGGCTGCTTGGCCTTTCCACCCCCCTCACCCTCCCACCCCCACACTTTGCAGCTGAGAAGGGTAAGGGAATGTGTGGAGAGCAGAGGGACGTAGGGTCTCTAACTCCAGTTGTGAGGAATGGAAGCTTCTGAGGGCCCTCGGTCTGACTTGACGCCCTCACCCACTTTTCCCAGCATCTCCAAGATCTCAGGCTGGTGCCTCCCCCAGGTTGAGCTGGAGGAGAGAGACAGGTCTGAGGTGGGCCTATCCCCCAGGGGCCTTTGAGGGAAGTGCTGAGGGAAGCTGATAGAACCCTGAGAGCCAAATGCAAATTCCTCTCGCTGTGGATCTTGGCTCAGTGCAAGAAAGAAAGGGGGAAAAAAAGATAATTAAATGACTCCCATAGTCCACTGAGCCCTTGTGTCTTCTCAATTAGAAGGAAAAGGAGTTCCAGAGTCCTAAGGTCTAGGTTTTTTACATAAATTTACAGGAAAGAAAGAGGAGACTGTCCAAGATTACTGGCATGTGGTCTCAGAAGAGCAGAGGGAGCAGCTGAAGTGATCTCAGTGGGTGGCAGGGTGGGGAATAAGGGATGGGGCTTTTCCATTCTTCTTGGGTTTTGACTAGTCTCTTTCTTCTCTTTTGGTCAACCTGAAATCAGATCGGCCTTGGACATGTCCAGTAAAGCAGGTGGAAAACGCCCGGCTATCACCAACAGTGACGTATCCAACCACAACATGGTGTCCGAGGTCCCCCCAGAGCGGCCCAGCGTCCGGGTGAGTCTAGCCCCCAAGGCCAGCTGTCCGGCGGGAATCCTAGGAAACATATGAGCCTGTCCAGCTGTCTTCACAGGCTCTACAGAGCAGGCGAGGTGGGGCAAGAGGAGAGGAGAGTGGGAAGGGAAGAGGGGTCAGACCAGAACCTTGTAGAAGACTGATCTCTAGACCAGGGCTTCTCAGCCTCGGCACTATTAGCATTTGGGGCCAGATAGTTCTTTGTGACGTGGGACTGACTGTCCTTTCACTGTAGGATGTTGAGCAGCATCCTCTGCCTTTACCCATTAGGTGCCAGTAGCACCCGCCCTGTGACAACCAGTGTCTCTAAACATTGTTCAATGTCCCCTGTGGGGCAAAAGTGCCCCCTCCCCGCCCATGGAGAACCACTGATCTAGGGGGACGGCAAAAGAGGAATAATTCGTAAGGGATATGGCAATCAAGAGCTCAGAAAGGAAGGAGCACCTCAGGAGGAAGAAGTAACCCAGAGAAGAATGTGGCATAGAGGTCGAGTAGGATGAGGGCTGAATGTGTCCCTGGGTTCAGCACTGGAGACCCTGACCAGTGGTGGGCTGAGGGCAGAAGGCAAGCCGGAGAGGGCTAAAGAGGAAATGGGCGGGGAGACAGAGAGACGATGACGAGTCGGGACTAGTCGTCTAAGAAACTAGACAGTAAGTGGTGGTATAGTCATACAATGGAGCGCGCTCCCAAAATTAAACTGGACTAGAGCTATATGTATTAACAAGGACAAATCTTGAATATGTAATGTTGAGTAAGAAACAAGTTGCCGAATATGAAAGATGTGATATCATGTATGCCAAACGGCCTCCATGAAAGCAATACGACATATGTACAGGTAAATTTGCAGTACGACCATGTAACCATGGACAGGCAGACTAGTTCTGGGTCAGCGATTGCCTCTAGGAAGGAAGAAATGAGATTGAAGAGTGGCTCAAGGGGAGTTTCAGTTCTATTTGTCACGTTTTATCAGAGGAAAAAACCCAGCACATGGTGGTGATTTATTCTCTACTTTTCTGAAATATTTGTAATATTGGAAAATATATATTTGTAAAGAAACTTGACTGTGAGGGGGAATGTGGGACAGGGGACCGAAGCTAGACAATATGCAAGATGGCGGGAGGTCTTCTTGGTCCATTTCATTTTGCTTCAAGATGGGCAAGCAGGAGGGAAATGGCCCAGTAGATAGGTTCAGGAGGAAGGGGGACAGCTGTGAGTCTCATTTCCATGGAGACAGGAGAAGTCAGATGCAGAGCTGCTGTTAGCCTGCATAGGGAAGGGGAACTCCTCCTGAGCTGCAGAAAAAAAGGTATGTGAGGCTTGGAGGTGCGAGTCTAGGAAGTTAAAGACAGTCCCATCTGATAGCCTCACCTTCTACAGGGAAGTAGGAGGTAGGGTTTTCTGCAGAGAGGAGTCGGATGGCTAGAGAGGCGTTGGGGCTGGAGAATACGCCCAGGGTTTGGAGAACAGGACCAGAGATCAACAAGGGGCATGTGAAATATTGCGTGATAACGTCGAAGGGTCATCTGAGGTCATAGACTTGACTCTGAGTGGCTCCAGTCCACAGATGTGTGGGGTTTTCCTCCAGCACCGCTCCTAGGCTGGCTGGGAAGGCAGGGAAGGTAGATGGTTGGATTAGCCTAAGGTGGGGCTAATGGCAGGAGGAAGCCGTGGCAGAAAGTTAAGGGGGCGAGGCATGGAGGGGTAAGCTGTGGGAGCAGCTTCTAGCCTGCAGAGCAGAGGTGAAGCTGTGGCAGATGACCAACCGAGGAGGAAGGGAAGGATTTGGGGAGTTGCTTATTCTTCGGGTGGTTGGGTGACTTCCACAGGTGCCTCATCTCAGCCTTTGTATGTGGATTTTTACTAGTAAAGTTTAGAAAATAATTGTATTCCCCAGTTTGGGGTGTGCCTTATGATAAAGCCCAATTTCTTCTTTCCTTCCTTCTGCAAGTATGTACGAAGTGCTTATTGTAGACAGATACCTTGCTGGGCTCTGGTGATGAACAGACCAACAAGACTCAACTTCCTCCCTACAAAGAGCTCAGAGTCTGGAGAAGGAGCTGGAAGGCCAACTGCCCCATTGCAGTGTGACAAACTTTAGACCGCACAAATGGACAGAGAAGAGGCACAGCTCACACTGTACCAGGGGGCCCGGGAGATTTTGTGGAGTTGGGGGCCCTGCCCTGGGCTTAAAGGATGAGTTGGGATTTGTCAGGGGACAAGGGAGATGGGGCTCCCCACATCTCCTATGTGAGAGCAAGGTGAGCAAAGGCAGGGGCATGGCAGAGGACCACCAGGGGTCTGGCGAGGGACCTGTCCGGTAGAGGGGCATGGGCCCGGCAAACCCTACAGACCTGTCCCTGGGTGCTGTGCTAAGGAACTGAATTCCCTTCTAAGTGATGAGAGGTAGTAAGAAATGTTAAGAGAGCATCGTGATGGCACTGTGTTTTAGAAAGGTAACCTTACTTCGTGGTAGAGGGTGCACAGCAAGAGGATATGAGGGCCTGAGGGGAAAGAACAGATCCGAGAACCATTAGGAACATAGACCCATCTGCCCTGCGCAAATGTCATATAAGGAGCGGAGGAAGGAGGGAACCGTGTGAGGCAGTTCAGAGTTCAGGTCTGGGCAACCGGGTGGATTGCAGTACCATGTGCCAGGTGAGAAATACAGAGCATCGGGCTTGGTTAGAAAGGGGATGAGTCTGGCTTTGCACTTATTTAGTCCTGGTTGGACAACCGGCTACGAAATGGGCCGAGGCTAGGAGACAGCACTTAGATATGGATTAGAGAGTTTTCAGAGTACTGCTGGTAGCCGAGGCAACGGGTATAGATGAGCTACACGATGTAGAACAAGACAAACAAGAATCTGAAGTCTGGTTGAGGTCCACCAAGAGAGTAAAGGTGGAGCTTGAGAAGGAGCGGCCACAGATGGAGGAAAGAAGAGTTTCCAAAAGAAGAGCTTCCTAAAGAAGAGTTTCAGGAAGGACAGAAATGTCAGTGTTATCCAGTGTATTAAAATGGCCAAGGACTGAGCAGCTTTAATTCAATGACATTGCAATTGCCACTTGAGGAAAGAGGTGGAGGGGGGTTAGGAGTAAACGTGAGGAGCAACCTCAGGACTCTTCCCAGGAGCCTATTCCTGCGGAGGAAGGGAGGGAGAAGGGGGAAGGTGTTACCTGAGGGCCGGCAGGGGACTGGCAGGGGATGTAGGGTTGGGGGGGGCTGTTCCGGTGGGTGTGGCCACGTGAGAGAGAGGGAGAGCTGGTGAGGGGGAGAGGCGGACAGAGACAGACTGATGCTTTAAGATGGCGAGAACTGAGCATGTTTGCTCAGGAGAAGCAGCTAGTGGAGAAGGAAAGGTTGAAGACAGATTTGAGAAGAGATTATCCATGGAGCAAAGTCTCCGGAAAGGGTGGGTGGAACGTGTTAGCCTTGAAAAGGAGGATGACATTGGAGAGAAAGAGGCGACAGTGGTAAGGACAGTAATTTTCTAGGTCAAAGGGTGTGAAATTGAGGAAGTGCCTGTCTGATAACCTGGATCATCTCTGTGGAGCAGAGCTGGGTCCACTGCGGGGAGGGTGTGCGGGCGCTTGCAGGGCTCGGGGGAGGGGGAGGGCAGGGAGTGGAATGAGGGGGCTGGGCCGGTCCGAAGTTGGGGGCGGGCAGGGGCTCTGCACTGGCCTCACCCGTACTGCAGTGTGTTCTTCCTCCGGCAGATCTATAATCATAAACCATAATCTGGCCATGAGTGCAGGGAGGGGATAATTTGATTGCTCTGGGATTCTGAGTTTTAGAGAGGCTCCAGCTCTGACAACAGATGGGCTGTTTGAGAGTGCAGCCCCAACGAGGAGCCTGGGCTTCCTAGGGAAATAACCACAACGAAGATGTGGCTGACGGGTCCAGAAAAAAAGGGAAGGACTAAGGAGCTGGGGATTCCAGTGGAGTAGACAAGCTGGAGGTGTTGAGTAATGGAGTGAGAAAGCCCGAAGGAGGGGACGGCGTCAGGAAATGGGAACACCAGAATTGAAGATGTTAGTGGTGGAGGGGCGTGGGGCCGGCCAGGTCGCAGATGCAGCTGTGGGAGTGAGTTGCCAGGGTAGAAGTGAATGGTTTGGGGATTGAGGCGGTCACGGTACTGTAAGTTTAGGGCACTGGATCAGTCCTCATCAAGGGCAATGCCACAGGGATGGCCAGACTTAGAATGAAGAGGATGATTGATACTGGAATTCTAAGACTCTGAAGGAGTGATCTAGAAGCTGACAGTGATGAGAAGGGCTAAACAGTAGAAGACCAGGGGTGCTTCCAGAGAGATTGTTGCCAGAATGTGGAAGGATGACAGTGTCCATGTGGCAATAAGGAGCCAGGAGAACACTTGTGTGTCCTCCCTGCTCTGTGCTATGTTGGACATTCAAGAGTGAGCAGGACTCCCAAGAGGATGATGATGTAGGGAATTTACTGGCATTTGAGTGGGTTCCAGAAAGCATTATGAAAGGGGTGGGGAGTCAGGACAGTCGAAGAAAAATAGCCCAGGAGTGAAATGAGAATTCTTATTTTCTCCTTAAAACAACAACAACAAAATCCACACCGCTGTGAGACAGGTCGGACTATTATTCTGAGCCCCATTTTAGAGATAAGAAAAAGAGTCCAAGGATTGGAAAGCTGTGCCCTTGAGTTAGGAGCAGATCCAGGAGTCACACCTGGTCCTCTTAGGGTGAGGACACCCCAGGCGCGGGGAGAGCTACAGCTCCCAGCAAGGGTCGCTCCCACTGCAGAAAAAGCAGAGGGGAGGAGAGGAAGAAAGTCAGGCGGGTTTCTCTGTCTGCCTCCCCAGGCAACCAGAACATCCCGCAAGGCCATCGCCTTTGGGAAGCGCTCACACTCCATGAAGCGTAATCTCAACGCACCTGTCACCAAGGCGGGCTGGCTCTTCAAACAGGTGAGGCCTCCCCTGCTGTCCGCCCACCAGGACCTCCACTTTCTCCTCATTGCTCTGCTTCCTCTGTAGTTACAGTAATAGTCCCTGCATGTTTTGGTATGTCCTCCCGTGTCCTATTTTTGGTATGTTAATATCTCTGTGAATGAATCTCCTAATTTTATGAAGACTCAGAGAAGTTGAATATCTTCCCAAAGCCACACAGAAAAATAATGTCACATTTGGGAACCCAGCCAGGTCTCCTAATGGGCAGATGGACTGACAGAAAGATGCTGGGTCGCCAACCCCATCAGAGCAACCCACTGGCTCGTTCTCAGGAGGTCCCACTTGCTGTGAAGGAAGGGGGGTGTCCTTAGTCCCGGGGTCCACTAAGTCTTCCCAGTTTGACCTCACCACCCTCCCTGCCCACCCTCTGCCCACTCATCCTGGCTCACCTCTCACCCCTTTTTTCTTCCCCGGGAGAGACACTGAGGCCTGGGCTGACAGAACTGGAAGGTTACAGACAATAATCTAACGTCACTTTCCTGCATCTGAGGTCTCAAGGGGGGTTGGCTGCCACTTATTGGCGGCAGAGCTGCGACCAGAGGCAGGATGGCCTTATAATTAGTGCCACGCTCCTTCCCCTGCAGCCCCCCTCCCATGCCCAGCTCACAGTCCCTCCCCTCTGTCCCCACTTGTCCCGCAGGCCAGCTCCGGGGTTAAGCAGTGGAACAAGCGCTGGTTCGTCCTGGTGGATCGCTGCCTCTTCTACTACAAAGGTGAGCTTGCCTCTTCTCCTGGGGCTGGCCGGGGCCGCAGGAAGGCAGGGCCCACCGCTCTTTCTCATTCTGCCAGATCACCGGGCTCTGCTTTGGGTGGACGTTGGTTGGTGGACATTGGTAGGGGCGGGGGTGGGGTTGCAAATCCGCCCCATAGCCTCGGGCACCCGTGGGGTGTGACAGTGGGATAAAGACAGAGCCCGCTTGCTCACGTGGCCACTCACTTCACATTCAACAGTGTTTACTGTGCGCCCTCCAGGTTTCAGGCAGAGTTCTAGGTGCTGCTGGGGGACGCAGTGGGCAGAGTAAGGTCCTGGAGTGGGGGATGGGCTAGGAAGAGGAGGACGAGGAGGAAGGCCCCTAGTCACTACTAGCGCCTGACCTACCAATCGGAACTTACGTGTTGATCTGCCTACCCCTGGGGAGTGTCTGAGCCGAATCTACGAAGGCGGAAATCTCGGTTTCGTTCACGGCAGTAGCCACAGCGCCTAAAACAGTGCGTGGCGCACAGTAGGTGCTCAATCAGTGTTGAGTAAGTGAATATCCCCAGCTTCCACCCTCTGTGCCCACCCCAACACTCACTCCCAAGCCTCTCAACAAAAAAAGAGAGAGAGAGAGAGAGAGAGAGAGAGACCTAATAACTTTGGTGAGGCAGCCTCTGGGAAGTTATTTTTAAAATAAATGTGCAGCTGTGTCATGTCAGGCAGGTCCTGAGGGAGCTGGTGAGGCTTGAGGACAGGGCCGGCCCTGTCAGGCTGCTGTGGGGCCACGGGAAGAGAAGGGTAAAATGGTTTTGCAGCAGGAGAGGCTGATTCCTTTCCTCCATGCCCTGGGAATGGCAGGGCCCTGACTTCCCTGGGCCTCCTGGGAGCAGTTCAGTGAATCATTAACTTCCACAAACAAGGGTTGTACCCAGTGACCCCTCCAGAGTACTGCTGTCCCTGTGCCCTGAGTCGCTGTCACCTGAACCCCAAAAAGAGAAATCAGGAAGGGGCTGCAGAGACAGGGTCCAGCCACAGAAAAAAACCCAAAACTGGGGGAAAAGAATCTGCCCGGGGCGTGGCCCCTGGTGCTGGGCCTCTGGGACCCAGGGCTGGCTGGAGCCAGAGTCTGAACGAAGCTGAAGGAAAGCCAGGATCTCTGCAGAGGAGAGACTGTGGGACTGGCCGGAGGGGAGAAACTGAGAAGTTGTGAACTCAAAGGGCACTGTGATGGGGGCCACCGTCCACTGAGAGACGCTCTCAAGAGCCCCTGTAAACATTGGCCCGGACACTGCCAGGCAGAAGGCCATTGCCTCCAGAGGATGGCAGCCTCCACTTTTCTGAAGAAGCTCTGGGTCCCCAGCCCCAGGCTCCTCCTGATCCTTTGGCTTCGCCCTTCTTCTGGGTGCCATGCTGACTCTGCAGAGGAAGCTGGACCTTAAGCCGGGTATCTTGTGTGAGTGATGAGGAAGTGGAGAAGGGGAGCTCATGACTCTAATCCCCGAGACTCCTTCTGACGCCTAACAGAGGGTTTTCCAGGGTTTCTGGCCCCGGGAACAAAGAGCTATCCCAGGGAAGTGGGGAGTTGCCCCCCCCACCTATTCCACAGAACACCCCCACCTTTTGAGGTTCCTGCCAATGGCTGGGGTCCCGACTAGCTCATCCATCGGGCTCCTTTGGAGATCCAGGATGGATTATATAGGAGCCTGGTTGTTAGCCTGATGCAGGGACCAGAGGGCCAAGGGGTTCTGCAGGTGTGTGTCTGCCTGTAGAGACATGGGGCCATAAAGGGGAAGACAGACCCCTGTCAGGAGAGGACAGAGCAAGCTGCTGGGTGCCTGGGAGAACCTTAGAAACAGTTACCCAGAAGAGCCAGAGCCGAAGATGGGACTGCTCTGCCATGCCCAATCCCATTATTATCCCATTACATATATCCCCACTGGAATTGTCTTGCTTGGGGAGGCTCTATGGATAGGAGAGGGGCTAAGAATGCTTGCTTGGGAGGGGCGCCTGCCTGGCTTAGTCGGTAAAGCATGAGACTCTTGATCTTGGGGTTGTGAGTTTGAGCCCCGCGGTGGGGGTGGAGTTTAAAAAAAAAAATGCTTGCCTGGGAGTCAGGCTTCTTGGATCCAAAGACCAATCCACCACTCTCTACTTCAGTAACGTTGGACAAATTACTTAACCTCTCTGTTGTGTCTCTACCTCCTTACCCATAAAATGGGGTAATCGCAGTACCTATTCATTGGGTCGTGGGTAGGGTTAAATCCATAATCATAAATGACTTATTTAACTTAGAACAGTACCTGATGAATAACAAACCCTCCATCACATTAGCTGTTCCTTATTTGTCTACCTGCATCCCAGAAGGTAAGCTCCCAGAGGGTGGGTGGCACTTCTCTCCCATCTGCCTCTGTAGTCCCAGCCTCTAGAACAGGGTCTGCAGGGCCGCTGCAGGGAGTGTGCCTCTCCGTGCTGTGCAGAGCACAGCCTGTGTGCTGGAGGGTGGCGGCCCTCGGTGCCCGGCCAGTAGTAGAGGAGCCACACGGACGTATTGCTGTGTATCACTGTAGGGCTGATAGACCCCTCCCCTCTCTCTGTGCACGCGCACTCAGCAGGCATGCGCATCTCACCTGTCCCTCTACCCAACAGATGAGAAGGAGGAGAGCATCCTGGGCAGCATCCCCCTCCTGAGCTTCCGGGTGGCCGCAGTGCAGCCTTCGGACAACATCAGCCGAAAACACACCTTTAAGGTCAGTCGGCCCTTCCTCTCCCAGGTCAGGTGTGGAAGGGAGGCCTGCTCTTCTAGAGCGTGAAGGAGTGGAGAAGGACCCTGAGCCACCTCTCCACGGAGTCCCCACTGGTGGCGGAGGGAGGGAGAAGGCAGTGGCCCCTGGAGTCAGTCCCAGCTCTATCGAGACCACCTCCTCTTACCTTGGGAGTCAGCTGGGTGGTTCTCCTCAGGTTGGGCTGGGAGAGATGGGCCTCAGTGGTACCCCAGTTTTTCCTGGGGGAGAAGTACTTAACGTCCTGAACCCATGCGCTCTCTGCCCCATGGCCTGGAGGCAGAGGCAGGGGCTGTGGGCTGGTGGGGTTCTGACATCCCTTCTAGAAAGCAATCCTCCCTACCTTGGGCCCAGGGAACTAGACACCCAGTCAAACCTACTCAAATTTCAATCTCTAGAGAAAATTAGGAGTTGAGTTTGATTACAACCGAGAAAGACGAACTTCATGCAGACCGTAGTTTGGGAGAATAGGAGCATGGGAAGATGGGCCTCACGCGCCTGCTCAGTGTCCCTCCCTTGGAACCCCCCGGGGAATCCACCCATCAAAGATGTGCTTGCAGTTGGCTCATTGCAAGCTGGTGTTTTTCTACGTTTAAAAATTCATGACCCATTAAAAACAATAAAAATCCCATGCCCTTTTTGTATTTTATGATGCAAAGACCAGAGGCTCCTTTTCATTTCCAAATAGAAAATGATGATACCGGCTATGCATTTTCTTAGCACAAAGCCCTCCCTCCCCAGTTGAAAATGGCTGTCCAGGTCCCTGAAAACCGAAAGCTATGGTGTTGGATGATGATAGGAACTGCAGGTAATGCCAGATCAGTATCTGAGCCTGTGGGATCTCAGAGACTCTGCCCCTTCCTGTCCTTCAGACTCTGGTCACCTGACCGTGGAAAAGAGCGTGGGCAGGATACACAGGTGCTGCTCCGGGGAACAAGGAGGGGCTTCTTTGGCACATAATTAGTTCCTAGCCTCCTAGGGTCCTGTCTGCCAGAGGTGTGAACAGAATGAACAATTAATAAAACTCTAGCTCTAGGGAGCCGGGTTCTAGCTGGGGAAGTAGAAACAGGTTGTTTAACCAACAACAGACAGTCCTACTATACACATTCGCGCCCACACCGCCACACAGCTCAACAGCCTGTCTCACCCTCCCCTCTAGACCTGTGCACAGACACATCCACACTCCAGCTCGGAGCTGTGCCAGCAGCAGGCATTCCGGCAGCGTCCCAAGTGACTGATACACGCACGCACACGCGCGCACACAGCCCCGGCTCTCTGCGCCCCGCCGCCCCTCCCCTCCTTCCCCTTCCCCCAAGGAGTGCACTGCCTCTTTAAAACCCATCTCTGAGGGCTGTGCCCAGTGGCCCACAAAGGGTTCCGATTGTGGCTATTCAGTGGCCCTTCCCCAGGGAAGGGAAGGGAGCAGAGACAGATGGGAGGCTTGTGCGGTTGCGGCCACCAAGTGAAACTCTTGGATGGCTAATAATGAGCTGGGCACTAGTCCTGCCCAGCCTGCTGCTGAGTGCCTTAACCTCTTCCTAACCCAGCCCCATGGGGGCTCAGGGGACTTCACCGCACTGGGGTAGCTCCCTCGGTCTGTGGCCCCCCTCCACGGTGCCAGGCCGGTGTCCCCTCCGGCTGCCCGTCAACTGCCCTGTTTACCCCCAGCCCCTCCCCCTTCCTCTGTTGCAAGCAGTATGCTCCTGTGCCTTTGCTCTCCCCTTGTCTCCCCGTGGGCATGTTTTGTCCTCTAGCTTGACCGTGAGCTCTTCAAGTGCAGAGAGCATGTCTGTTTTGCTGTGATTGGTGCCCAGAGCAGAGCTCTGCATGCACAGGGTGCTCACTAGCAAATTAATTCACTTGCTGCCCACTCCTGCCAGCGCCAGTTCACACCCACCAGTCCCGCCTGTCTCCCTCTTCTCTACAACAACCCTGTGTCCTCCACGCCGGAGAGCTCACCAAGTCCCCTGCTCTCCCTATCCAGGTGCCTCCTTACAGCTTTGCTGGCCGGAAGCACCTCCCTGCGTCTGCCCACAAGCTGGGCCCCCTGCTGGAGGGTGGGAACGGGTGGCATCCAGAGGAAGTAAGACATGTCACTGGGTAAATGACTCCTGTCAGAAAGGAATCGTGTGCCGGGGAAGGGTGGTACAGAGGAGTGAAGGTCCAGCCGGGGAAGCATTTGGAGAGTGTGGATTTGACACTGCTGCTTCCGAGAGCCCTGGGGCTTGGTCAGGAGAGCCCCGTCTTCTCTCCTTCCAAGCCTGTGAGACCCATGATTTCACACTCAAGGGGTCAGAGACGAAAGAGAGGTTCACATCTGAGACTATTAATCACTTGGATTTCTCATGTTGAGTGGGGTAAACCAGGCTACCTGCTTTTTCTGTGAGATTGAAGGTCTCACCCAGGGAGTATGCTGAGGTCCCAAAAAGAATTGAGCTCTGGAGCATTTTTCCCTTGTGTCCTAAGAACTTTGATCTTCACCAGGAGGATCCCTCCGCATTAGACAGATGCATCCCTTCAGGCCAGAACAGAAACCCAAGTCTTATGCAGCTGCAGAGCTGGTTGGGAACAGAGCTAGAATCAGCACTGGGTTGCCCTGAACCCTCTCCGCCAACAGCCCCAGTTGCGTGGGGCAAGCTCTGCACTCCCCACCCTTGGCGGGCATCCTGGGCATCACTACGTGCTGTCGTCCCCATGGCTGCAATAGCGAGTAGAAGGGGATAATCTGAAACCCCCCCACTTCCCTCTGCTCCTCAATATTCCTGCCACGTCATCTTCTGTCTCTCCCTCTGGTGTCTGGTTGACCTGTTCTCTGCTTCTCCTCCTTCTGACTGCGTGAGGACCCCTCCTCTGGACAGGAGCTCCCTTCTGGGTTCCCGCCTGCCGCACCTCCTCGCGGCCGCCAACTAGGTAGCGTGCTCTAACTGGCAGTGCATGCCCCTTGCATGCGCAGGGAGGTGGAGGCCTGTCTGTCTCTCTGTACCAGCTCCTCAGAGGCCAAGCTGGGGCCAGGACTGGCATGGGCTTGGGGGCGGGGTGGGGGAACATCTCTCCCAGACATCGGATAATAATTGCCCTTCAAATCAAAGATGGAATTTGATGGGAGAGTGGGCGTGGTAATTGCCCTTCCTGTTTATAATCACCTTAGGTGGGGCAGGTAAGCTTCCCTGGCTATTGGGCCGCTGGGTGGTATGCAGAGAGCTATAGCCCATATGCCAGAGCTAGAACACTTGCCATAGCTGGGGCTGTCCTCCTCACCTTGCTCCTGAGCTGCAGCGGGTAGGGGAAAGAGCTACAGACCAAGGGAATGGCCTGCCTGACCACCTGTTCTGTGGATGTGGCTGTCTTCCCCTACAGGTGACTACGTGCTGGGTGGATGAGGCCGGGGCCAGTTCCACGAACTGCCTCTCCCCACAGGCCGAGCACGCCGGGGTCCGCACCTACTTCTTCAGTGCCGAGAGCCCCGAGGAGCAGGAGGCCTGGATCCAGGCCATGGGGGAGGCTGCCCGAGTCCAGATTCCCCCAGCCCAGAAGTCGGTGCCCCAAGCTGTGCGTCACAGGTGAGTTCCAGGGCACTGGGCATGGGCGTGGGGAGTGCCAGAGAAAGAAGAGTGAGGAAGCACCCCCCCTCTATGACCTCCTGAGCCCAGTGCTGGCTCAAACGTCTGAGGACATGTGAACCACTCCTCGCCTCCCAGCAGGGTGCCTGGCTAAGTGATTTCAAGGCCTGGGGTCTCTCTTCCCCTGATTGGGTCTACCTCTTCTCTCTGGGCTGGTAGAGGCCAAGAGAGAAGTCAGGTTCCCTCGGGGCCTAGCCAGGAGCCAAAGACCAGGGTCATTCACTCGTTTATTCTTGGCTGTGCACATTAAACCCATGACTTCTGGAGGAGGGTGGACTCAGGTTCGAATCCCCACTTAGCCCCTTGCCCACACTGTGACATCAGTGTGAGTTACTTAACCTCTCTCAACCTGAATTTCCTCTCCCCGAAGACAGCAGTTAGAATCCTCCCTCAAGGGGTGGCTGTGAAATCTGGACGTGCAGGGAGCACTCAGCCCATGGTGGCCCCATCCCTGTCCCCACCCGCCACCCCCTGCAGCCTCAGGGCCTGTCTTTACTCAGTGCGTGGAGTCCTGAGGTAGATGTTAACAGGGATCCAGAAGAAGGGGGTTTTACGGTATAGATAGACTCCAAGTCTATTTTAGTGTCTTAGAAGTGTTTAACACAGGGAATGTCGCAACAAGGATGCTTGAATATGTTGGGTTTGGGAAGCCACAGGGAAAACATAGTCATGAGATTCCATCTTCACGTCAGCGGAGGGGCGTACTTCCAGAAGTTCGCTCATTCAGTTCGTAAATATTTACTGTAAGTAGGTATGTGTCAAGCACTGGATCGGGTGCTAGGGAAACAAGGGAAGACAAGTCTACACGCTCCTGCCTCGTGGAGCTTACTTTCTGACAGAGTCAGTCCTGGAAGAAGCTTGTTCTGGAGATGGGAACTAGCATGTTTCTGTGCCGAGGATGTTTGAGGCAACAGCTCTGGCGCCTGGCGCCTGCCACGTTTAAGCTCACGGTCCTGCGAGGGGAGGGACTGGTACACCCATCCTGCCAACAAGGAGCCCAAGGCTCGCTGAAGTTAAGGAACTTGTACAGGACACAGGGCTGACCTGTAACAAGCTTCTGTAGCCGAAACATCAAGGACAGTCACCATTATGGAGATTTGGTAGGGCATGTATCGAGCTTTCGGGGCTGGAGTGGAGACAGACTGCCGGGGAGACCAAGTCTGGGGGAGGTCAGTGGCTGGATTCAATGCAGGTCAGCAGAAGGGAGCAGAGAGTGACCCATGGAGATGACCTAGAGGGTAAAACAAGCAAACCTTGCATAGGCAAGATTGGACTATGTTTTATAGTGATTGTCCAGGCTGGAGCAAGAAAGCAAAATGGGGGGGATTGGGGCGCGTGGGTGGCTCAGCCGTTGAGCGTCTGCCTTCGGCTGGGGTCATGGTCCCAGGGTCCTGGGATCCAGCCCCGCATCGGGCTCCCTGCTCCGCGGGAAGCCTGCTTCTCCCTCTCCCACTCCCCCTGCTTGTGTTCCCTCTCTCGCTGTGTCTCTCTCTGTCAAATAAATAAAATCTTAAAAAAAAAAAAAATGGGGGGGGTGATTTAGGAAACAAAATTGCAATTCACTGACTCCCATTTCCATTGCTACCTTCCTGCCCACCGTTCGCCACTCCTTTTTCCTTCCCGGTCTACCACCCCCTGCCCAGCTCCGCCCTGGGCTGGGGTCACTTACAACATCTCCCTTGGTGTCCAGCAGCCACGAGAAGCCAGACTCCGAGAACATCCCACCTAGTAAACACCACCACCAGCCATCCCACAGCAGCCTCCCCAAGCCTGAGCCCGAGGCCAAGACTCGAGGGGAGGGTGACGGCCGGGGCTGCGAGAAGGCTGAGAGGAAACCCGAGAGGCCCGAGGTCAAGAGCGAGCCTCTGGTGAAAGCCAATGGCATCCAAGCCGGACCCGAACCAGCCTCGGAGCCCGGCAGCCCTTACCCTGAGGGCCCGAGGGCCCCAGGGGGAGGGGATCGGCCCGCCCAGCCCAACGGCTGGCAGTATGGCTCCCCGAGCCGACCAGGGAGCACAGCTCTCCCACCTCAGGATTCAGAGAGCGGGGGCCACCAGCGGAGCTTCCCCCCGCGGGCCGACCCCGACAGAATTGCCCAGCGCAAGAGCTCCATGAACCAGCTTCAGCAGTGGGTGAACCTGCGCAGAGGGGTGCCCCCACCTGACGACCTTCGCAGGTGAGTCCTGGTGGGGCGCCGGCGTGGAGCTGGGGTGGTGTTAGGGCTGGGCCCGGGGAGGGGAGGGTGTGACATGTGCAGCACCCCGTGCCGGAAATCTTCTGGAAGCCAGGCTGAGTTGGGACGCCAGGAAGACCCTCCAGCCCAGGGTTCCCAGCTTGTCCAAAGCTTCTACTGCCCCGTGGCTCCAGCCGTGGAGTGTGACCTTCTGCCCGGCTCCTGCCCTGTTTACTTTCTTCAGAGACAAGGCCGGAGCACCCAGCGCCTCTCGGCGAGGATGCGGGGTGCCCGGGAGGCGTGCAGGCACTCGGAGGGAGGGGCCTTCGAGTTGTGCCAGTCAGAGAGCCATCCGTGCGTCCGGCCCTCTTACAACACCCCCGGTGCCATCGGGTGACTCTGCCACCACGATCCTCACCGGCCGCCAAGCCAACGCACCCCAGTTTTGAACGGCTCTAATTGTTTGCAAGTCTTTATATGCAGCTTAAGAAAAGGAAAGGAAACAGAATGTTGCTGCTCACCAATGCTAGTTGTGCCCTCTAAACCAATTTACTCCTTTGTCCAGTGATTGGCTTTCAAACACCGGAAGACATTTTTTGGGCCCGGAGCATGCATCAGGGCAAGCGGGGCTGCGGCCCCTTCCCTGCGGGGGTGGGCAGCTCCCTGGAGCGCAGGTGCCAGCCACAGGAAGGCTGCTAACATGCTCACCACTGCCGCCCTGGTGCCTGGGACATCTGGCCTGCCCCGGGGCGAGCACCTCACTTGGGATGAGTCCTAGGAACCTACGGTCCCGTCCTTGATGAGGACATCAAACCAGGGAAACTGCTGCTCTTTTGTCCCTCCTCTGTCACCCACCTCCCCAGCACCCAGTACGCTCATGTTCTTTCTGCTCTTTCTGCCTGCCGTTCACCTCTCTGGAAAGGATCTGATACATGGGTTCATGGTGGGATAGAAATAGCTAATAAGGCTTAAAGTTTCTCCCCAGGGCTATTTCATTTTAAAAAGACAAAGACGGAAGCTCTGAATGTGAAATTTCCAGTCTCGGGTGGCTGGTTGAGGGAGGAAGCTGAGGGAGCTTTCCCTGCACCCCCGGAAGCCAGGCTCAGCGCCCAGGCAGTGGCTGCCTCCGCGGGCTCCCAGAGTCGGCCTGGGGCACCGTTCACCTGGGCACACCCTGCTCTAGGCTGGAGGACCCGGAGGTGGGGCTGGGGCGCAGTGGTGGGGTGGGTGGGGTTGCGCTCATTTTGTCTGGCTTCCTTACAATGTCCTCTCTCTCTCTCTCTCTCAGTCCCTCTAGGTTCTACCCCGTGTCCCGCAGGGTCCCTGAGTATTACAGCCCCTACTCCTCCCAGTACCCCGATGATTACCAGTACTACCCACCGGGGGTGCGGCCGGACAGCATCTGCTCCATGCCGGCCTACGATCGGATCAGCCCACCCTGGGCGCTGGAGGACAAGCGCCACTCGTTCCGCAACGGAGGCGGCCCTGCCTTCCAGCTGCGGGAGTGGAAGGAGCCCCCGGGCTACGGGCGGCAGGATGGCACCGTCTGGCTCCCCAGCCCCTCCCCCTCCCGGCAGCCAGTCTATTACGATGAGCTGGATGCCACCTCCAGCTCCCTGCGCCGCCTGTCCTTGCAGCCCCGCTCCCACTCTGTGCCGCGCTCGCCCAGCCAGGGCTCCTACAGCCGTGCCCGCATTTACTCCCCTGTCCGCTCACCCAGTGCCCGCTTTGAGCGCCTGCCACCTCGCAGCGAGGACATCTATGCTGACCCTGCTGCCTATGTGGTGAGGCGGTCCATCAGCTCCCCCAAGGTGAGCCACCAGCCTGCGCTTCCTTCCCCATGCCCTGAGGACCCCCCGCCCCAGAAGCCTACTACCATCTGCAGAGGAGAGGTGGAAGTGAGGGGGGCATCTGGGACTTGGGGTCATCGTGTCCCCCGGGGACACACACTGTGTGTTGGCAGGAGCCACGATGATGCCCGGGGGAGCTTCTGGCCCTGCGGGTCTGTCTGTGGGAGAGCTGCTTTGGGGCATTTGCTTTGACCCCTGAGTAGGAACATTGCTGTTGGTGCCTGTCCCCAGGTCATGCCAGGAACCCTAATCCTGTGTTTGAGGGCAGAGAGGGTTCTGTCTTTTCACATCTTGAGGACCAGACAGGTCAATGCAAGGATCCTGCGGCGAATAAATGCTGCCCATTTTCATTTGGCATCTGCTTTGGGACGGGATACGCACATCCCTAACCTTGAACTTCAGTTGGTGGGGAAGTCTGTGTCCCAGCCGGACCCCCTCACCTCTCCAATTCCCTTTCTCTTCCAGTATGATTACCTGGGAGACAGGCGGCCAGTCCCTGCAGGACTGTTCCCCTACAACTACCCACCATCCCCCACGGTCCACGATAAGATGGTACGTCCTCTCCCCCCGGCCACTTGTCCACTTCCCGCAGAACCTCTCCTTCCAGGGCGGGGCCAAACTAGGGCAGCCACAGGGATGCTCTGTGCCTTGGTGCCTGGCCCTCCTGGTTTTTAGCAGCCTCTGGATACTCCTCCTTCCCGGCCAGGACTCTGACCCCAGTGCAGAGTTTGATGCCAGTTACCCCATGTCTGGGACACAAGGTAGAGGAGCAGGGACAAGATCTGGGGGCGTGCGGTGTCCTGACCCTCTGGACCCTGGACAGCCTCCTGCCCGGCATGCAGAGGCGCCCCCATCCGGGGCCCAGGGAGTGTCCAATAGCAGGCATTTTCTCCAAGTCTGTCCTTGCCTGCAGCGCTACTTTTGGGGAAAGAGACAAGTAGTGAGATTAAGGAAGAAAATATGTTCCCTATTATGCCTCTTTCTTCTTTTCTCCCTGCTTTCTACTCGTCTCTCCCGGGAATTTGTTCTCCAGAGAATTTTTGTCTCCCCCCAGAGAACCGGGTGCAGATGCTCCACCTGGGATGGGGGTGGGTGCACTGGAACGAACAGGCTGAGTCCGTGTCCCCAAAAGCCTGTTGCTGACGCCTGTCCCTACATAGCCCGGGGAGGCCCGGGTGGAGGAGCCTCTACAGGCATGGAGGGTGCCCCTCCCCTCCCCCTTGATCCTTCTCTGTCCAAGCTCCAGCCCTGACACACAGCTCAGCACCCATCTAGAAACAATGGATTCTTCCTTAAACCTCAGGAGCTGCTAGGGAGGGCCGCCTAGATTGTTTCAGGGTGCTTCCCTCTCCCAGGCGAGGGCCAGGCGGATCAGGAGCCCTGGAGCCGGGGCCCCAGTGAGTCCCTCCTCTCGCTCGGTATCCGGTCGACAACTTGTTGCCTGCCCCCAGCCTCATCCCTGCCCTTCCCTAGAACTCTTCAAGGGCAGACAGAGGCCTCTCTTTGACCTTGCCCCCCAGCTAACTCTTAACTGCTTTGCTTCCTTTTTATTGTTTTCTGTTGTCTTGTTCCTGTTTGTGTTGCCGTTGGGCTTCGGGCTCCGGGTAGGATGAACTTTTAGACCTTCAGTTGCAAAGAAACCTAGAGTATTTGGATCAGCAGGTAGGCAGAGCTGGTGCCCCCTCGCCATTCCCCTGCTCCCCCCGCCACCCCATCTGTCTCCCTGCTCCTCCCCACCTCCTTCTCGCCCATCCATTTGACAACCTTTGTTGGCACCACCAGGACACAACAAAGTGGCTTATATTTTGGTTTGCGCATTCACACCCCCTCTCCTCAAAGCCCTTTAGGGCAGCTGGGAGTTTCCTGGGGAAAGGAGAATAAGAAATGACCACATGAATAATTAATGCCACCTCCTATTTGTTCAGGCCAGCTGGAACTGGGGGGGGTGGGGAGAGGTGGGCAGGCGGGAATTTGCATTTCTGCAGGAGAGAGCAGCGGGGGCGGTGGAAGGGGGCGGGGCTGAGCAGCCAGGCTCAGCCTAAAAATGCAAGGGATTCCCTGCGGCCTGAATCTGGGAAACTATCTATCCTAGTGCACAGGTGGTTATTAAACTCCACAGTTTGTAAACTGAGGACTACAGACTTGCCCTAGGATGGTTTTTTAAAATTATATTAGTTCCATATATTTGTTAGTTCCTCTGCCAAGTTCTTTTGCATACGGGGCTCGTGTTCTCCTCAAGAATTCCGCATGGCAGACAGAGTGTTAGCAACCTCGTTTCATCTGGAAGAGTCCGTGAGTGTTCCCATAGATGGAAGTGATTAGCTGCAGAGATCCGGCTCCAGGCTCTAACCATTGGCTACCTTGCCCTTTGAAACTGAGGGGCGTCGAGACACGCTGGGGGGTCAGGCTGCTGGGCCTTGATTTGAGCACATACTCTTACCTAAGTCCAGATCTGCGCTACAAATCACAGGGGACCTGGGCATCCCCAGTGTGGCCCGGTGGAGGCGGCCCGAGGTGGTGAAGTTATCATAGTAGGAGTCGTAGTAATAGTAGTAGGAATGGCGGCCGCCACCGTAACTGGGTGCTTTCTCTGTGCCTCATGCTATTCTGAGTTCCTTATAGATCCTAAGGCATTTAGTCTTTGTAACAACACTGCAGGGTGGGTACTGTTGTTATCCCTCTTTAGAACTGATAAAACTAAAGAAACAGAGAGGTTAAGTAACATGCCAAGGACACACAGCCAGCGAATGGTGGAGCTTGGAATGTGACTCTGAGCTTTTGATCCAGTTTATGGCTGAGGAGATACCTAATATACGAAGAAGCAGGAGTCAAACCTCCTCAGGATGATTTTATGCTCTTAAAGTTGCAGAAAGAACATTAAACTTGAAATCAGAGGCTGTTGCTGAAACAGTTGGTGGTTCTAGACACCAGTCATATGCCACATAACCTGTTGTCTCACGGGCCTCCGTGCCTTGGTGGGATCATCCTCATAGAAGGCCTTGGGCACTGGCAAGCCCTGATATCCACATTTTAATCAGCAGGGACAGCTCCCAGCCCTCACGAACCTTGCGTTATTAGTTCCAGAAGCAGCACGTGGTGTCCACACCACGAGTATTCCAGTCCACATGGGGACGAGGCTCAGGGTGCCAGCCCAGACTGGCAGTGGGAAGTGCGGGCTCGCGCCTGCAGGAAGCAGGGTCTGCAGTGCCCGGAGTAGCGAGGAGCAGGGCTGAGTGGCCTCGGGGCTCCTGGGCAGGCTTTCCTCTCTGCGGCCCATCTACAGTGCCTGGCTGTGCCAGCATTCAGTGCCACTGCGGGGCCCCTCCTGGGGCTTCTGCCCTCATGGACAGGCTGGGCCCTTAGGCTGGGAGCTTCAGAAATAACCCTTCAGAGGACCTCCTCTAGATAAAGGATAATAATCTCAAAAGGGAGTTTTATCTGATAAGAGTCTAGGGGCGCCTGGGCGGCTCAGTCGGTCAAGCGTCTGACTCTTGGTTTCAGCTCAGGTCTTGATCTCCGGGTTGTGAGTTCAAGCCCCATGTTGGGCTCCATGCTGGGCATGGAGCCTACTTTAAAAAAAAAAAAAAGGGTCCAGAACGTGGAGTCAGACATTCTAGTCCCAGCTCTGCCATTTACAATGGTTTTTTGTTGTGTTTTTGTTTTTTTTTTAACTTCAAAATGTTGCTTCATCTCTCTGGGCCTTTGTTTTCTCACTCATAAAATGGGACATTGTAGAACCTGCCTTTCCCGCCTCCCAGATTTGCTGGAGGATCAAGTAAGAGCGTACATGCCAGCACTGGGTCAGGCGGTGGTGAGGAGCGCTAACTGCTGCGATGATTATTTTATTCTTTTCCTTCTGACATTCGATTTAAAATATTAACTGAGCACTTTATGATGTATAAGGCACTGCGCTAGGTGCTTTCTCACAAGATTTGACATTTTGGACAGACAGAAGGTGGCATAGAGGAATCCTAGAGGCAAAGCCCACATGGGCCAGAAGGTCCCCCAGAGCCACAGTTCGAATGGGAGCAGACCAGGGTGAGAACACTCTGGCTTTGCCTTCTTTAGTGCTTGAGATCCACTGGTTGGGCGGGCAGTGGGATCAGTGCGTGTCCAGGCAAGACCTGGGCCTCTTTGCCCTCTCACAGCCTGGTGTGTTAGCAGGTCCCCCCCCACACACACACACACAGGACGCAGGCATGGTTCACAGGCAACAGACACACGTATACACACACCATACACAATCACACACACACCACACATGCATGCCCTGTGCACAATAAACATGACCTCATACACACAGGATTCCAGGAAGATGGGGGCTGACTTGAGTTCTGATCCTTCCAGAAAATGGGGCTGATGTCCTGTTGACCGTGAACTATTTTATGAAGCCTCAACCTCCTACTACAACTGCTCTTTGGAAAGCCTTTTAAATGACACTTGATGCCTTCAAAAAAATTCCAAATGGGCTAAAGAGGTAGAGAGATCAGATCCTAGGAAAGCCTTTCAAAATGCTATGGACTCTGCAGATGGGGATGGCTGGGTGCCACTCGCCCTGTCCCCAGCACACAGAAGCAAGGCCACCTTTGGGTTGCCACCTAAACGGGTAAGAGGGAAAATACGTGTGGGCCCAATGAAGATGGGGGAGGTAAGAGCCAAAAATGTGAGGGCCTCCTGAACTGTGACCCCAGAAACTCTGCCCTAACGTGGCTCTGTCCCTTCCCTCACTCACCTCATCTCCCCAAAAAGCTTTTCCCACACGACTTTCCTCTGTCTTCTGCTACCTTGTCCTGTAGGTTGATGAGTTAAAGGGACATAGCCAAGGACACGCCCTAATATTTTCACTCTTTGATGCCATTAAACTGGAACCAGGGGGCGTAAATGACGGCATCTCTAGTTGATTTGCTTGGCTTGTCTTCCCTCCCTCACCCCCTCTCCTCCCTCTCCCCTGGCCTTCTTCATCTCTCTCTTTCCCCCTCCGTGTTCCTAATGATTCTTGAAACACAAAGATGACGTGTCAGAGAACAGTGTTCGAGTATCTGCTGTCCCTTTAACGCGGCTTGCTTGTTTTGGCCTCCTTATTTGCGCCCTAGCGTCATCCAAGATCGGCATGGATGCTACCAGCCCAGCTCTGGAAACCGTGTTTAGCAATCCTTTCTACTCTAGAGCCAAGAGGTGGGCTGGGGTCGGGGAGAGAGAGCTGTGCCTCTTTGTGAAGGCCCATCCAAAGAGCGGCCCCAGGGTTTCTTTCTCAGCTGTTGATTTAGTTCAAATTTGGGGAGAAGGGTTTTCCTACCTGCCAGTGTGGTGTTTGACCAAAGCAGCATGAGGAAAAGAGGCGGGGCAGGGAGTTGACCTTGGCCGGTGAGGATGGGACCTGCCGCACCTCTCAGGCACCCTGGGGAGAGTGTCACTGGGCAAGGGGTCTCTTGAGGGCCAGCGAGCGAGGGCACAGCAGCCCCCAGCCCCCCTTATGTGACCTTTCCTCGGGGCACCTTCAGTGCTGGTCCCGGGACGGAGCTCACAAGGGGTGAGCGACAGGTAAAGCCGAGCAGAGGGAGCTGGAGACCCCAGGACAAGCTGCCCTTTCCTGTTTCCGGGGAAGTGAGCCCAGGAGGGAGATGGGGAGATAGCTCCATGGGGGTCCGAGTTTGAATCGTCCGTTCCTTCCTCTGCTGCAGATGAGTGAGAGCGAGACTCTCATCAGTATGGTGAACCGCATGGTGGAGAGCTCCTCCCCCAGGGCCCAGATCTTCATGCAAGTAAGACCTCCGCCTGGCAGCATGGTCCCCGTCAGCACCATTTCAGCTGCTTGTGCATGGTCTAGTCAAGCCATTTGGGCTAGGGTTTGCTCTGCCCTACCCGCCCATCTGCCAGGCCTCATCTCCTGGGCCCCGCCTTGTCTTCCTCCTCTAATTCCGCTGTGTCTCCTCCATTCTTCACGTTCATGGGTGAATCCAAGGCCCATTTCTCAAACCATCAATACAGCCGGCACCGACATCCCATACCATGCCAGCGATCGCAAATCTGCTTTCTCAAGTCCAGGACTTCTGTTTCATGTTGGGTATCTTCTTCACAGACATCTTCGAGGTTCAGGGCACAAGGGGTGTGATATGGAACCATCTGATGCCCCAGTGGTGTAGAATGTGCCATGGTCGCCGGATGTGTCACCAAGACTGGGCAGCATTTGCTGGACCCAGACATACTCCCGGTTAAGCACACCCCGCCCCCACCCCGCCCCGTGACTGGTGTGCAATCTACCGAGATAATCATTCTCAGATGTTTTCGGGGCTCATTCCATTTCCGCATGTCTCATCCTCAAAAATAGCCACGGATTAACTGTTGTTCTCAGGGTTGTTCCCAGTAAGCCATCCGGGATCTCTGCACCCCCGGAGTCCCTCTCCACAGGAGACCCAGAGGCTGGGGGAGAGACAGGAGATCCTGAGTCAGAGCTGAGCAGCATCCCTGTCTCCATAAATCAGCCTGAACAATAGGGAAGGACCTAGATGGGGCTACGCCAGGCTTCCCAGCCAGGGCCAAAGAATTAGCTCGGGTTCCCGGACTGGAAGCTGCCAGAGCTGATGGACCACGGTCTCTGACAAGAACGGAGCCAGGGCTGTCCGCTTCCCTGCCCCCACACGCCCCACCCGTCCCCTGCTGCTGTAACCAGCGTCATGTCCCCGCAGGTCCCTCCGTACCCAGAAGTGTTCCGGGACGGTCTCCACACCTACAAGTTAAACGAGCAAGACACGGATGTAAGAGCAGCTCTCCTGCTCCCCTGTCCTCTCCAGTCCCTCCCGTTGTCTTCCTCATCTTCGCTCTCCTCCGCTGGGGCTTTTCCTCCGTTCATCTCTGTCCCTCTGGTGGCTCTTCACGCCTTTGACTCGTGTCCTCTCTCAGCACAAAGACAACATTCCGCCTGCCCCTTCCTCATCCCCCTTCTTTTCTCATCCTTCTCCCTTCCCCGCCCGCCCCGTGCTGGCCGTGTGTGTTTCTCCACGGAGCCCTAGGCCCTGTCTCCAGCAGTGGGATCTGCTCATTACAGGAACACGGACTTCCTTAGGAGGTGCATCGGCCAGCCTACACTGTGCCCACGTTGGCAGTCGCCCCTAGGCCACTAGAGGGAAGCACACAGCCCTGCCCCTGGCCTCAGGGAGCTCCAGGGTAGTGGGAGATGCCAGGTAGCCGTGGGTGACAGCATATGATTCCTGTGCCAAATGGGATGGACAGTGGGTGCTGCAGGAGGGCAGGGCAGTGAGACCATGTGGGCCGGTGGGTCAGGGACAAAGCAGGTAACAGGTGAGCTGGGCCTGGAAGTTAAAAGGCCCAGAAGACAAGATGTGGCCAGTAGAAAAGAGTCAAGGGGGTATTTGAGGAACGGCGTGAATAAAGGTATGGATATTGGAAAGCCTAAGTCTTTCCAGAAGAGAAGCGTGGCCTACCCTGCCTCCTTCCGGTCACCACTGGTCTTGCCTGGGTAGTGGATCTGCCCAGTAGGCCTGGGAGAGTTTCCATCCAGGCAAGGGCCAGACCTCAGGGGGATCCCAGCGTCAGCCATCCTGAGACCCTGGGAGGAGAGGAGAATAGAGTCCTGTGAGCCTGGGGAACCGGTTTACATGGTTCACTGGTTTTCCTAAGACTGCTGGTTCCGGCACCCTGCGTACTCCCCCCGGTCCATGCCCCCCCTGGGAGGCCAGGCCACATTATCTCCTCACCCCTTCTGGAATCGGAACCCCCAGGAGGAGGGGGATGCAGGAGCTTAACATTGAACTCCCCTCTACAGCGGACTCACTTCCTCAGAGAATAAGCACATCTCCCCTCCCGGTAGGCCCTTGGGGAGTCTCCTGAGGTGAAGACCATCTTCCTGTTCCCAGGAGCCTCCAAGGTCAAGGTGAAGAAGGCTTAGGGTTCCTCCGCAGGGGAAAGGAGGCAGTATCCAGAGGCCAGGCCCTTCCGACCCGTTTCCCAGGTCCCCATCAAACCATGTCCTTCACCCCCTTCTCTCTCCCTCCCTTCCCCCAACCCCCTCGGGCCCCCAGAAGCTGCTGGGCAAATTGTGTGAGCAGAACAAGGTGGTGAGGGAGCAGGACCGGCTGGTACAGCAGCTCCGAGCTGAGAAGGTGAGAGCCAGGGGGTGGCCTGGAGTTGGGGGCATGTGGGGAGGCTGGCTCGGGCAGGTGTGTGGTGCTGTCTCCCCCCTAAGCTGCCAAAGCCTTGTCTTAAACTTCTGTCCTGCCCTTAACTGGGACTGCTGGGGCTCAGGCCTCTGCTGCTCAGAATCCCAGAGAGGAATCATCAGGGCTGCTGACGGCCATTTCCCTGCCTTCTTTCAGGAGAGCCTGGAAAGTGCCTTGATGGGGACCCACCAGGAGCTGGAGATGTTTGGAAACCAGCCTGCCTACCCGGAGAAGCTGCTGCACAAGAAAGAGTCCCTACAGAACCAGCTCATCAACATCCGTGTGGAGCTGTCGCAGGCGACCACGGTACCACTCTCCCCCCATCCCCGGTCCACGTTTCAGCACCAGCGCAGGAGGGCCACCCCTCCCAGGCTGTGCTCGCTCCTTCCTGACTCTCCTTGGTGGCCGAGAGCAGGGTGCTCTTGGCCAGAAGGGGCAGAAACGAAAGACCTTAATAGTGCCTTGCTGGGGCGCCTGGGTGGCTCAGTTGGTTAAGCATCTGCCTTTTGCTTAAGGTCATGATCCCAGGGTCCTGGGATTGAGCTCCGTGTCGGGCTCCCCGCTGAGAGGGGAGTCTGTTTCTCTCTCTGACTCCCCCCCCCTCTCGTGCTCTCTCTCTCTCTCGCTCATTCTCTCTCAAATAAATAAAATCTTAAAAAAAAAAAAAAAAAAAAGTGGTGCCTTGCCGATAGGCAGCGAGCATGCCGGCTCGCTCACTCCATGGAGTCTCCTGCAAGGAAACAGGCTTCTCTTTCCACAAACTGTTCCCGCCCTGGGATGCGTTCAGGGCAGGGTGAGGTCGAGGGCTCCTGATCTCGTTGGCTGCTTTCACAGCTTTGCTGCCTCCCTCTGTCCTTTCCCCTGGAGAACCGGGACCCCCGTGCAGGGCTGCTGGCCCGGTCATTCGCTGTGGGCGCAGGGCAGACCCTGCAGGACCGACTGCCTGGACAGGAGTTCTGCGGTGCCACAGCAAAAGGGCCCGGAAAACATGGTCCAGAAGGGTGGAAGGTCTCTAACCCCCAGGGAGCAGACACCTCTGGGTTTCCTCTCTTTTTGCCCTCCACTTTGGGTTACCCAGTCTGAGGAAACCAGGAGGGGGTGGGCATGGTTTGATCCCCTTTTGGCGTACCCCCACACCTGGAGAGAATTCTGGTTTCTGTATTTTTCGGCCTGCAGTCGGATGGGCCACTGTTGGGCTGTCATCAGAATGTCTCAGCCCTGGGCCCTCTCCTCTGGTCCCTCTGTGCCCTTCTCTGAGCCCTGCCAGACCCCAGGTGCCCTTGCCCCAGGCCCTGTGGGGGGTCTGGGGAGGAAGGCTTTGGCACTGGCCACTTTCTCAGTAAGCCCTCCCCCACCCCCCCACCCCCTCCCGTTGCAGGCCCTGACGAACAGCACCATAGAGTATGAGAGCCTTGAGTCAGAGGTGTCTGCCCTGCATGATGACCTCTGGGAGCAGCTCAATTTGGACGTCCAGGTAAGAGGGGCCTGGGCAGGAGGGGTCAGTGTGCCCTCCCTTCTCCTTTGGGCCAAAACAGACCAAAGTGGCTTCCTTTCTTGCTTTCGAGATCTCAGAGACTTGAGACAGGGAGTCGGTCCTGAGACAAAAGACAAGGTTCACATCCACTTAAAACAGATGCTTTCTGGACGAAGACTATGTGGGATCTTCTTTAGTTCCAGCAGATCATGAGGAAGGAGTAAAGCAGAAACATGAGCGCGCTAGGTTAGACAGAAGATACTTCATGACTGGAAGGCTTTAACACATCGATATACATATGGATGTAGATCTGGATGTGGATAGAGATCCACATGCGGGGAGAGATGTGGGCATGTGTGCAGCTGTCTCTCGTGACCTCCGAAGGAGTAGGCTGTGTGGGAACCAGCCACTCAGGACCCTTAAGATAGGAAAGAGGCTTCGCTTCGCAGGACGGGTTAGAAACACTCTGCTTGGAGGCAGGAGGCTGCACATATTGACCTTGGGGAGTTCCTGTTCTTTGCCTCCCTCGATCTTCTCTACCCGGGCTCTGCCTCTTCTCTAGCTAGCTTTGCAAACTCTGTCTCTCTGATGCAGTTCATGCCCCCGACTTCCCCTAGTTTCCTTCGGGTGACAAAACTCACCACCCCACATTGCAGCTGGTTAGGGAGGCGGAGGTGAAGGCCCTCCTGGTCCAGAGCACCTGAATGCTTGCGTGTCCTATGGGCAAGCCTGACTTTCAACACGAACATTTTAGGGGGTAGGAAAGCATCCTGATCAAGGGCACCAGCTCTCAAGACAAATAGATCCAGACTCAGATGGCGGTCACACTGTTTTACTAACAGAGGGTCTTGGGCACAAGTCTCTTCATCTCCAAAGTCGGGACACCTGCAGCCGGTGCCGCACAGAGTTCTCGAGCAGCTGCAAGGAGTTAGTGTTTGCAGAGCCCTTAGCGCCGTGCCTGGCACGTGGGGTGGAGGGGCGTGGGGTGCTAAAAAAGTGGTACCTATGATTTTTCAAAGAATGCAAACTCTAACTGAATATAATTTCATGAATACTTAGGCAGACATTGGGTGTCGGTATTACAAAAGGACCATTTGGATGGAAAGAATATTAGTCAATTGGAAACCCTTGCCCTTGACAACAGGCTACCATCGAGGGTCCACCTAGAGGGGCATTTGCTCCAAGACCACCCTGATCTCCCCCGGGGAAGCTGAGGCTGCATGTTTACCTAAAGGGGCTCTTGACTGTGATGACAGGTCCCTCTCCCCTGGCAATTCCCAAGTTCCGTTTTGTAGAAGCTGAAGAGGCAGACGCTTCTTCCCATGGGGAAGATGAATGTGCTGAACGGACATGTGAGCGTGTGCACGTGTGCAAGGCTCCTGCCTCCTGCTGGCCCAAAGGGATGCGGGTGTGGGGGGGAGAAGCCTGGGGCCCTCCTCACAGCCACTTCCCTTGACCTGCTCGCGGGCGGTTTCAGAATGAGGTGCTCAACCGGCAAATCCAGAAGGAGATCTGGAGGATCCAGGACGTGCTGGAGGGGCTGAGGAAGAATAACCCATCCCGGGGCACAGACACGGCCAAGCACAGAGGTGGGTGCCTTCTCCACCAGCCTCTTGAAAGGCTCACCAGAAATGCTCGGGGGTCTCTGGCGTCTGCCCCACATCTGTCAACTCATCCCTCTCCAGGCTCTCACACGGTGCGCAGAGCTAGTCAGGGCCTTCTCAGGCCTCTGGGATCTTCCCCTAGGATGGTGGGTAGGGCTCCCTTCATCCTCCCCTCCTCCCAGAACAGACCAGGCAGGCCACTCAGAGATGTTGTTGACCCTGATAGTCTAGATTCCTCCCCAGAAAGGGTCAAAGAGTACCTGTGCCTCCCCACCCCCACTCCCGCCCAAGCCCATGGGCCGGGTGGCGATCTGAAGCCCTGGGACTTTGGGCTGGCTTTCTTTGATGTCTCGGAGGCAACAGTGTTCTTTCCATCCATCATCTAACCCCTGCCCAGCATGCTTCTCCACGGCCAGCCTGCATCCCAACCCTTGGAATAAGTCCCTCCATCAGGCCCGAGTGGCCCTGAAACCTCCCTCCCATGTCCCTGGGTCCTCCCCTGCCTCCTCCACCTACGGAGCCCACCCCTACCCCATCCATCCCTCACCTCTCCTCTCTGTTTGCCCCCCAGGAGGACTTGGCCCCACGGCCACCTACAGCTCCAACAGCCCCGCCAGCCCTCTCAGCTCCACCAGCCTCACCAGCCCCCTAAGCCCCTTCTCTCTGGTGTCCGGCTCGCAGGGGTCCCCCACCAAGCCCGGGTCCAGTGAGGTAAGCTGAGAAAATGGAGTAGAAGGTAGGTGGGGGAGGGAGGGAGGGAGGACCAGGTCCTCGTTGGCCTGAAGGACACAGACTCTGTGTCCATCTCTGCCCCAGAGGCCTCCAGGCCTAGTGCTTTGGCTTTCTGTCTAAGGTGGTCATTCTCACACCCAGTTTGGTGAACTTCCTTCAGAATTTTTCCTTTCCTTGCTCTCATCGGCATTTGTCATCTTTAGCCTCCTTCCGGGGAAGTCTCTTCCTGAACTCCAGGACGGTTAACAAAGATACCCAACACTTAGTAGGAATTTAAATCCAGGACTGTTCCAGCATGTGAGAGGGTTGAGGGTGGGCATGGGGAGCAGTATCCTAGCTAGTCAATCAGCAGGTGTTTACTGGGGCTCTACACGGGGCAAGGGATGGGGTGAGGCCCTCTCAGAAACATACATGTGCATGCCCAAGGCCCTTCTCCCGGGGAGTCCAGTGTCCAGGGGGGACCATGACTGATTTATAGGAAGCAGCTAGCCTCTGGAACTTGGCAGCGTGTGTCTCAGTGTGGACCGTAAATGCCCTGGTGTTCCGAGGAGAAGGTGGAACTTTCATTGGGACAGGTAGAGGCACAAGAAGCGTCACAGACAGGAGAGGGGGCAAAAGCAAAGACACAGGGGTGCAGATGTGCCCAGGGTGATGGTGAGGCCAATGAGCAGGGAGCTTCGTAGAAAAATTGGGGAAAGGTGGGGAGCGGTGTACAGGTGGGCGCTCGGCCAAGAAGAGCCCTGAAGCTAGGCTGAGAGTTCACTCCAGAGCTGGAGCTCCCTCCAGGTTGCGGGTGGGAGTTTGGCAATCCAGGGGCCCACCCGAGGTCCCCACGATGTCACCTGTCCCCTGCTAATGCTCTTTTCTTCTGCTCTCACAGTGGCTGGTCTCCTTCCTCCTAATGCTCTGGCTTCTCTCTGCCTCAGGAGCCCGGCCCACCACGGCCCCCCCTCCCCAAAGCCTACGTCCCCCTGGAGTCTCCTCCAAACGTGCCGCCACTCCCTAGCGAGAGCCGCTTCTGGCCATACCCCAGCTCCCCTTCCTGGCACCGCAGTGGCGAGCCAGCCAGGGGTCAGGTACCCAGCACCCTTGGGTCCTGGAGGGCAGGGGTGGAGGGAGTGGGGTGAAGGGTCAGGCAAGGGGACCAGGCAGGACACAGAGCCATTTTTTCCCCATTGCAATATTAATTTGCCCACTGCTGCCTGGTCAGACTCCAGGATAAGGAAAGGGATGGCAGAGAATGCTTTCCCCTTTCTGCCCTCTGTGGACAGAGGGAAAATGAGTGTCGCCCCCCGCCCCATGCCCGGGCTCCTGCGCAGCCCCTGGCTGTGAGTGGTGGTGTGCCCCACATCCTACCAGCGCGAGCAGGCAAGGGAAATCGAGGGACCAGCAGCGACGGGTGCCATTCCAGTCCCTTCCTGCCCGCCTCAGACCCTGGTGCTTCCATGCCGTCTGTCTCTCTGCCTTGTGTGTCCTCTTGGGTCCCATCGGCCCTGGGGTGTAAGCTGCTCTGTTCTGGCTCCCCAGCCTCTCTCCCCAGGAGAGAGGTACAGTTAGGCTGGGAAAAGTTTGCGTGGTGAGTAGTCCTGTGTCTAAAACCGGGAGTCATCTTTTCACCCTGGCACAGCTGCTGGGATAAGCACAGCCCTGAGGGGTTGCCGGTGAGCGGGGCCGAGAGGCAGTGTCACTTCCACTTTCCAGACGAGGGGAGGCGAAGGGGCTCACCCATGCTCTCGCAGTGGACTCGAGCTGGTGCTTCTGGCCTCTGGCTCAGTGTTTCTGTGTGTCCCTCATGAAGACTTAGACTCTTTGGCTGCACCACGGGAGCGGGGCGGGGGGGGTTGCCGATGCTGTCTGAGGCCCCTTCTCGTCTCATGATTCTGCAAGCCCTCAAGCTAAGTGCACGTTTCCGTCCCCCAGAATCTTGGTACCGAAGCCCACCCTTGGTTCTCTGGCTCAAGTTTTGGGTGAGATCCTGACAGGACCCTCAGAGATCCTCGGCCCTGTAGCCCTGTCCCCCAGCCATTCCTCCTCTCTGGCTCACAGCAAGTCTGTGCTTCTTGGCACTCGCCAAGAGGCCTGGTCGGGTTGAGGGGCCTCTCTGCTGGGCCTTGGCTGAGGGCCTCCTGGAAGCCCTGAGCCCTCGCAAGATGAGCCAGCGTTGGCCGGCCTTAAGGTGGCATGGGTGGGAGGCTCCATGGCGTCCCTGCCTGCTGCCCAGCTGACACACTTAAGAGTCTGCTCGTCCTGTGTTTTCAAGGGTTTGTGCTCCAGCCATTGCAAAGCAAAGAAACATCCCTGAGGGCCAAGTTCCCAGCAGTCCCCACAGCATGGACCGTCTTCTTTCTTCCCCCAGCCCAAGGCAAGCCATGAGCAGAGCAAGAAAGACCCCCACCAGACATCACCCCTGGATACCACTAGAGACAACAGCCTTGCGCCCACCAGGCAAGAGGTGGAGGCAGAGAAGCAGGCAGCTCTCAACAAAGGTACTTCCTGTCCCATCCTCCCCTAGAAGGAAGGCCAGGGGTCAGAGAGGAGCCCGGAGAGGTGCTCCTTCACAGCCAAAGAGAGCAAGTACCCACCCATTCTGGGCCTTTCATCTCTGCCGCAGATGGGACTGAGCCTCCTCCGAGAAGCAGGCTCCCCGTCTCTCTGCCCTCCTGCTCTCCAGAAGGCCTACTGGCTGTTCTGTCTCCCTACAGTTGGCATTGTGCCTCCTCGGACAAAGTCGCCTGCTGATGAAGAGCTAACTCCATCAAGGGTGGTGAGGAGGAGTGCCAATGGGCTCACCAATGGACTGTCCTCCCGGGTGAGTACAGCCTGTGGGCGCAGAGGCCCAGATGGGCCTGAGCTGCGCTGGGGGCCCAGGGGCCTGTGTGTGTCCACCCACCTCTCCACCATTCAAGAAACCCAGGGCGGGAGGAGGAAGGCAGGACAAGCGGTAGGAGGGCAACAGCCCCACTGGAGAAGTCTTCCATCAGGGAGACGTATCAAGGGACAAGGAAGATACACATAAGAAAGATAGAGGAGGGGCGCCTGGGTGGCTCAGTCGTCGAGCATCTGCCTTCGGCTCGGGTCATGATCCCAGGGTCCTGGGATCGAGCCCCGCATCGGGCTCCCTGCTCGGCGGGAAGCCTGCTTCTAGCTCTCCCACTCCCCCACTGTGTTTGCTCTCTCGCTGTGTCTCTCTCTGTCAAATAAATAAATAAAAATCTTTAAAAAAAAAAAAAAAAAGAAAGAAGAATAGTTAGCAAAATATATTTTTTTAAATATTTTGTTTCTTAATTTGAGAGAGAGAGAGAGAGAGCATGGGCGGGGGGGGGTGCAGAGGGAGAGGGAGAAGCAGACTCTCCTGCTGAACAGGGAGCCTGATGCAGGCTCCCCAGGACCCTGGGATCATGACCAAAGCCAAAGGCAGACGGTTCACTGCCTGAGCCACCCAGGCGCCCCTTCACAAAATTATTATAATGTGCCAGGGATGAACTACAAATCCAGCAAAAATCAACGATCAGAGTCAAATGTGCTGACTTAAGGCAGTAGACTCATTTCCTGGGGCTGCTGGGAAATTGACAAAGCCCCCCAAACTTGGGGGCTTAAAAACAACAGGAAGTTTATTCTGTCACAGTTGTGGAGGCCGGAAGTGCACAATTGAGGTGTCAGCAGGGTTGGTTCCTCAAGAGGCTCTGAGGAAGCATCTGTCCCATGCCTCTCTCCTAGCTTCCGGTGTTGCTGGCCATCTCTGGTGTTCCTTGGCTCGTAGACACAACACTCCAGTATCTGCATCCACCTTCTACTCTGTGTCTTCTTCTGTTCTGTCTCCTATAAAGATACCTAAGATTGGATTCAGGGTCCACTCCAATTCCCGATGATCTCTTCTTGAGGTCCTTACCTTAATCACATCTGCAAAGACCCTTTCCACATCAGGTCACATTCACAGGTCCTACGGGGTTAGGACGTGCACATATGTTTTAGGGGCCATTCTTTAACCCACTACAGACAGGCTTCCCAGAGAAGGGACAGTGAAGGCATTAGGGCAGATGAGGACGCTGGGAGTGGGGGATGCGCACCCGTCAGAGCCCTCTTCTGCTGTAGCAGGAGCGCCCCAAGAGTGCTGTGTTCCCTGGAGAGGGCAAGGTGAAGATGAGTGTGGAGGAGCAGATTGACCGCATGCGGAGACATCAGAGCAGCTCTATGAAGGAGAAGAGGAAGAGCCTGCAGCTCCCGGCCAGTCCTGCCCCTGACCCTGCTCCCCGGCCCGCCTACAAAGTGGTAAAGTCCTCCCAGCCACCCCTAGCCTGTGACCAGCCTGGACTGAGGCAGCTGTGGGGGGGGGCATTGAGAGAGGGGCTGGGAAGGACCCAAGTTGGGCACCTGGGAGAACGGTGGGTGCGGGGGGAGCCTCTCCCCACTAGGCAGAAGATATACTGCAGCAAGTGTTCCTTGCATGTGTTTAAAGAAAAATGACTCACCAAAAGGAATGCATTGATGATTTTAGTTGAAAAGAATTATACAAAATTCAGTTAATAGAGAATAGTGCAAAATTCAGCACCCAGGGATAGCCATCACTTACACATGTTTCTAGAGCATTTTCTGTGTATTTAGCCCTGGGCTGGGTCTACCGTAGATAATCTTAATAGCACACTGGTGCGTGGCACCGTGCAGTTCTCAAATCTCACGTTGTTTTGTTTAGATCTTTCAGCAGTGCCAGGTTAGGAATTACCACCCCTGTCTTAGAGATAGGGAAACACAGTCAGGAGGAATTAAGGATTCTGGGACCACATGGCTATTGAGTACGGAGCTGGGAGTAGCCCCAGGCATCTGCCAAATTTTTCTTTCCACCACATTTCAGAAATACAGGAAAATTATGATCAAAAGTCCTACCCTCAAACAGCTTACACTCTCCTTGGTGGATTGGAGCTTCTATAATAGGAATCCACTAAAGACCAGTGTAGGACACACTAATCCAACTGCCTAACATATATGGCACAGACCGTGAACACAGGGTACAGCCGGGTGGGAAGTAACGAGTCCTGATGAGACACATTGATGAGATTTGGCCTCTGGGCCTTTGCAGGGGGGGCAGGCTTTGGATAAGCAGCATGGAAGGAGGTTAGCTGTCCCGCAGTGGGAGCGGTGGGGTGGCGGCCAGATTGGGCGTGATGAGCAGGGACAGTGAGGACGTGGGCCTGCTCAGGGCTGCCTGGAGGCACGGGTGGCAGGGGACAGAGTCCCTGTGTGGTCATGGTGGTGCTGTCCCCTAGGTGCGCCGTCACCGTAGCATCCACGAGGTGGACATCTCCAACCTGGAGGCAGCCCTGCGGGCAGAGGAGCCTGGTGGGCAGGCCTACGAGACGCCGAGGGAAGAAATTGCCCGGCTTCGCAAAATGGAACTGGAGCCCCAGCACTATGATGTGGACATCAGTAAGGAGGTGAGTGAAGTCCAGGAGGGCAGAGGGGGAGAAAGCCTGGGGCGGGGGGGGGGCGTGGTTAGGGGACGGAACGGCGGTGGTGACCTAGGTCCCTCCCCAGCTCTCCACGCCAGACAAAGTCCTCATCCCCGAACGGTACATTGACCTGGAGCCTGATACTCCCCTGAGCCCCGAGGAATTGAAGGAGAAGCAGAAGAAGGTGGAAAGGATCAAGACACTCATTGCCAAGTCCAGGTAACGTGCCTGGGTGACCCTCAACATCCTCTGCCCATCCCGGCACGTGGGGCACCAGTGCCCCTGAATCCAGCACCCCGACCCATGCCAGTGGGAGCCCCGAGCCTCCCCAGCAGAGGGCGGACGGAGGCAGTGGCTCAAGGCAGCAGACCAGGCCCAGCCCTGTGGCCGGGGCAGGGATGCTGTCACTTGCGTGCCAAAAAGACCTGCTGGGTGCAGGCGCATGCTGTCGTCAAGACAAACTGAGGGGTTGCCCTCTGGTGACTTCTCTTCCTCATCAAGGCTGCCCTAAATGTTCACTTGAACCTTCTCCTTCATTTTAAGACACTGCAGTAGGGGGGTCCCAAAATGTGTGTTGCCAGGGTCCCACTCCCCCCTGGGGACAGCCTCGCTGGGAACCAGAGCCTGCCCATTCACAGGCCTCTGGCCACCCTGTCAACCTCAGTCCGCAGGCCCTCCCCCCCAAGCCAATTGGACCATCCTGTCCCCCCCCACTCCATGTTTGTGTGTCTGTGCCTCTTCAGTATGCAGAACGTGGTGCCCATCGGCGAGGGGGACCTTGTGGACGTGCCCCAGGACTCAGAGAGCCAGCTGCAGGAGCAGGAGAAGCGGATTGAAATCTCCTGTGCCCTGGCGACCGAGGCCTCCCGCAGGGGCCGCATGCTGTCTGGTGAGAGGGGCCGGGCCTCGCTCCTCCAGGGAGACTGGCTGACCAGGTGCAGGGGAGGAAGCTCAGTGCTGCGAGGGGGCCAGGGACAGAGAGGTACAGGGACAGGGAGACTTTCCTCAAGGTCGGGATGAGCACTTACTGAGCACCAGGTACTGTGCCAGGCTCAGCAGGGTGCAGACGGGCCAGAGTTGCATCCGGGAGCTTAGAGCCGGGATGACCCTCCTATAGCTGCTCTCTGGAGGAATGGAGGAATGGCCAGAGGCCATGCAGGCAGCAAGGGCACCACCCGCCCTGGGCAGCTCAAGGAAAGGCACGGCTAAAGGGCGATCCCTGAGCTTGGTTGGGAAGGATAAAAGTATTACCAGTCGTGGAGTGGGGCCCGGCATTGCAGGGTACCCTCTCACTTCCCATTCTGGCTGTGTGCAGATAGGAAGGTGAAGGTGGGGCGGGTAGCCATAGTTGAGGGCGATGCAGTCACCACCCTGCCTACTGACCCAAACCCACTTTTGTGCTAAGAAAAGATGAGCATGAGGAACAGACTTCACGCTGATAAAAAAAAGCTAGAGGGTTCCGAGCCGTCACCGTGAGGTTGAAGTCAGCCTGAAATATCTTGCCCCAAGGAAGGTGAGACTGGAATCAGGAAGAACGGAAGAGACTCTCTTAATGGGAGGGTGAAGGATAGAGGAAAGACAGTGCCTACGTCATGAAGCCAGCCGGGGGGCAGACTACGTTGTCCTCCTCAGGACGAAAGGTGGTTAGGGCAGAGAGGGGGAGGGAGAGCTCTGAAGGCCAGTCCGGAGGGATGCCCAGGAGGGATGCCAGGTTTGCAAGGACTTTGCTAGGGGAGGAGGCAGAGAGACAGGTGTGCTGGCCCACAGTTACAGCAGCCTGGGCGAGGGGCCGGCAACGAGCAGATCGGGACTGCGGCCAGGAGCCCGGCGGAAGGGGTGGCGTTTCGTGTTGGTGATCAAGAGGGGTTTGAATTCTGGCTTTCGGGGACTCCACACTCATCTGTAAAATTCTAATCAAAATACCTGCCTGGTGCTGTGAGGAATGGCAACAATACATGCTAAGCGCCTAGCACAGTGCCTGGCACTTAGTAAGGGCTCACTAAATGCTGGCCCGATGTGGGCGTGGTGGTGCTGGTGACGGCGCTAGGACTCGCTGACCTAGCAACAGCTGGAGTGGAAGGAGGGTCTGTGCGTGGTTTTTCTCGCTATTTAAAATATGGATATTTTTAGAAACCAGAGGGTTTCAGGCTACCACAAAGGGAATTTACACCTTAAGAAAGAACCTACTGGCAGTTAAGGTCGAACGGACATTAAATGGGTGGCCAGGGAAGACTGCTTGGAGGTACTTCAGAGAGAGGCGGTTGGTTGGGCTGGAGTTGAGGACAAGAGAAGGGATGGGCTTCAGACAGTCCCATCCTGCAGCTAAAGGCAGCAGAACCAGTTTGGCTGCACGGAGGCCTCTAGCCCACCTCTCTGTAGTTTAGCTGTAAAATGAACTCGAGTCTTCCACAGATCAAATTCCTCGTGCTCTGGGCAAAAGGCAACTTCCTGTTTCGAGGGTTAGCGCACACAACACTGTTTTTAAAACTTCCCTCTGCCCTCGCCCCAGCCCCTGGCTCTCTCTGCTGTCGTTTCCCAGCCAAAGGTTCCATGAAAACAAAACCCACCCTGGCCTCTCAGATTTCCCTCTCGATACACACCAGCTTACATTTCAGGGTCTATGCGTTGAAAGCAAACCGTCACTTTGCTTTTGCCAAAACCCCAACTATTTAAAAAATGGCATAGCAGGGCCAGACCTCAGACTTAGCCCACTGTCCCCACTGCCCCTTGGCCTCTGGCCCAGATTCCCAGAGCTGCAGCTCTGCCAGCGACCGTGAGGACCGTGCGTGGGCATAGGTTCAAGCCTGGGACCGTGCGTATGGGGGTGCTGGGCATGGGCCCTCATGACAGCGCGGTGTGGACAGGGTGAAGAGACCGTGCCCGAGGGTGGGTGTGTGGCATGGATGGCGTGCTCAGGAATGCTTGTCAGTAGACGCAGAGCGTGCAGACTCATGTAGGAGGTATATGGGAAGATGTGATGTCGTGTGCAGTGTCTGTGTTGGGGGATGTTTGTAGAGGCACGTGCATTTGTGTGTATTCAAGTGCGTGGGTGGAGGGAATGTGTGAGTGCAAATATAGAACTATGTGTGTATAGGTCTGCAAAATGTCTATGGACATTGTGTGGAGACCACGATTTATGAGTACAGGTGATATTTAGTAAGCTGTTGGAGTTTATGTATGTGTATGCCAGTGTGCAGTATAAGGATGGAGGTAGTGTTGATGAATGCATGTATTTATGTGTGACTGGCTTGTTCTGCAGTCTGGGGAGTGATAAAACACATCTGTGTATACGTTGTGCACAGTGTATACACTGCAATATTTGTAAATATGTATCTGCGCAGGATGGGTGAGAGCAGGTCTCATGAAGGTGCAGGATGGGAGAGCAGGCGTGACTGGTGATTTATGCATGCAGATGTGGTAGTACTTGTGGACACACGGTTATAATAACACACCTGTCCACTACATAGCTACTATATATGTGAACTTTAACTATTTCTTTTTTTTAGGATTGTATTTATTTATTTGAGAGAAGAGAGAGAGAGCATGAGCAGGGGGAGGGGCAAAGGGAGAGGGAGAGGCAGGTTCCCTGCTGAGCAGGGAGCCCGATGTGGGGCTCGATCCCAGGACCCCAAGATCATGACCTGAGCTGAAGTCAGACGCTTAACTGACTGAGCCACCCAGGTGCCCCTCAATGGATATATTCCTAATATATGTTTATAACATTTCTGCCTTCATAAAGAAGTTATATTTAACATAATTCATCTTTCTTGCTCTTGTTCATTTAGTATCATTATAAATATCCTTCTTTTCCTGATCCATTGAAGGGATGCCCTCCGGGGCTCTCGTTGGTACAGACTGTAGCTCCCAAATTGTTACGCTTTTAAAGGTATTATATCTACTTTTTACAAAAGACTTTTATGCCTCAGTTGTGCCTTCTTCTAGCTGTCAGTGGGCCTCCTGAGTCCTCTCTCTCCCCTAACTTCCCTGTTTCTGATCTCCCATGGGGTAGACGCCCAGCAGGTCAACTCCTCAGAAGTGTGTAGAAGTAAGAGTAACTGGACTCCAGGGAGCTGGGTCTGTGAATAATTCTAAGAGCTTCACCGCATGCACGTTGCAATAGATATTTGGCTTTCTTGAAACAGCCCTCGCTTAGTTTTTGACTTTCTGACAGTTTTAGAAGTCGAAGCTGCCAAATGACTAACCGCTGGGTCCACGATACAGACACACACACACACAAATGTGTGTTCCGAAAGCGTTTGCGAATGTATGTAAGTGTGAAGTCACACGTGTACTGGTCCCCGTGGAAGAGTACGGGTTTGGAAGTGCACAAACGCATATCCGAGCTGTGTGCGGTGAGAGTCGAGTGCTGTTAGATCCCGGGCACAGACCGTGTATTCTGTGTGGGTAGATACAGCTTCCTGCTCACAAGAAGGTTCCCACGTCTTGTGTATATCTGAGGCTGTATGTATACACGGGATGGGGGCTGCTCAGAGGGCAGGGAGGTGATGGGGTCCAGGGCAGGCTGGAGAGCAAGGGACTAGAAGTCGGATGCCAGGATCCTTCTGTTGGAGGAAACAGTGTGACCCTGGCTGAGGTCTGGTTCTCCTCTGAGGCCACGTGAGCACGCTCTCTCTGCCAGGCTCCTGCCTCACAGCGGCCCTGAGGGTGCCCGAGGGTCTGCAGACTGCAGAAAGCTCATCCCTCTTCATAGGACCCCCTCCTCATTGGCCTTCCACTTTGCTCTTCTCAGCATGGAATCATAATGATAATAGAGTAAAATCCATTAATTCAAATGCCACCACTTTAAGGTTTGTAATGATTTGTTCAGGGGTGGACCGAAGGTTGCCCCTTCTGGATTGATGAAAAGGGGGTCCCCAGGGATAGCGAGGGGCCATGTTTCTGAGACTGCGAGCTGGTCCAAGTTCACGGTACTCCCTTCAACCCTGCCGGAAGCCTCGGTTTGCGTGGAGGTGATTCACGTGGTGGTAACTTGGATCTAGTCACCAGCCAGGGGCCTGATGATCTGGGTTAGTGGGGTTTTACCACCCTGTTCATCATCATCGCCCGCGGAGCACCACGTGTAAAGTGCGGTCGCCTGCTCTTGTACGGATGTGAGTGGAGCCTTGGCCCAAAGGGGCCGGCCTCGCCCACAGTCCCACTGGTTCTCAGCAGAGCCTGCAGTGGCCCGGTCTCCTCCTCTGGGACCCTGTGCTCCTCCGTGGCGCCTGGGACCGAGGCCAGGTCGGCCTCAGCTCTCCTCTCTGCTTGCCTCCTGCCTGGCTCCCCGCCTGGGGAAGGACCTCGCTTGCTCTGGGTGCCCGGCCTCCCCACCCCTGCCACCCCCACCCACCCCTATTCACCTCCCTGTTCATTTCTGTTTCCAGTGCAATGTGCCACCCCAAGCCCTCCCACCTCCCCTGCTTCCCCGACTCCACCAGCCAACCCCCTATCGTCTGAATCCCCACGGGGCGCCGACAGCAGCCATACCATGCGGGTCTGAGCTCTGACGTAAGAACTTTTCTACTGTATTTCGTCCACCGCGGGGAGTGGGACCCCCGCCCCTCACCCCCATGAGCCATCTACCCACCCCGACACACCTCATTCCGGCATTGCTTCTCCCCCCAGTGCACCGCCCCCGTGCCATGCCGCTCTCCCCACCCCTCCATCCGCTTGAGCCCGCAGCATCCCTGTCCCCGTCCCTGTTCCCGTGCAGTGCTGGGCCAGCACCGGCTGGCGGGGCCGCCTCTTGGATGCCGCAGTGCCCGTGGGCTTTGCTTCTCCAGAAGCAGACAGGGACAGAGCCGAGGCCTCCCCTATCCCGCTGTCCGCCAACAAGCCTCTCCACTGCTGTGGAGATACATAGTAGTCCTGCCTCAGAAGCTCCCAGATCTTATTTCTCCCAGATCAGCCCCAGATCTTCCTGTAAATTACAGTACCATGGGAAACTATGGCCAAAGGCTGTGTGCGTTCCTTGCCCCTAGCACACAGCCGCTTGGTATCAGGCAAGTGGGAAAGAGCAGGGACTTCCATTCATTTGCTCCCCTCTCGGGGCTGGGGGCGTGGGGCGGGGTTGGGGTTCTGCAGACTTGTGTCTCCTGGGAAGCTGGGCTGAGGCTGCTGCTCGGCAGGGAAGCACCCTTCTCACCCGGTTCTCTTCTCTTCAGTGCAAGCTCTGGCCGAGGCCAACGCCGGGAAGCTGCACAGAGCCACATTCTGAAGGCCTCAGCCCCCTGAGGCCCCGGCTCCCCAGCCTGGCCCCCTGCCCCTGCGCGCCCGTGGGAGGGCTACAGGGAGCCAGGCTGGGGGCCGGGGTTGCTGCCCACACGTTACCTCAGTGTCCACACGGCCAGCACGCCCGGCCCCGAAGCCCTCGCGCCTCAGATGGCGGCCCCAGGCCGGGGCCCAAGATGGCGGGCAGACAGCAGCCTCCAGCGCCCGCGGCCCAGGGGGCTAGGCCCGGCCCTGGCTGGTGGTGTGACGGTCCTACTGGAACATTTCCTGCTGAAGAGGATGCCCTGGTGGGGAAGATGCTCTGGGCTCTCTCAGGTTAGGACTAGGCTGAGGAGAAGACGGATGGACGCTCTGCCTCTTCCAGCCCCTCCTGACACCAAGGGCGGCACCTGCCATCGGGTCCTTCCCCCATCGACACCCCTCCACCCCGCTGCCCCAGCTGCACCCAGGGCTTTGACACGTCTCTGCTTAGGGGTGCTCCTTTGGGGTCCAGTGGAGACTGACCACCCTGCTTGAGCCAAAGACAAGATGACAAGAGCTGGGGAGAGGCTCCTCGGCTCCCGGGGGGCACAGTGCTGGCTGTGGGTAGAGAGAGGCACGCAGGTCTGTGCAGGGTCTGAGGGCAGGTTGAGAAGGGGGAGAGGAGAGAAAGGGAGAGCTGGAGGCCAGTGGGAGGACAGGGAAAGGCAGGACTCATTTGCAAGTAAAAGGGTGAGGCGGAGGTGGAAAGGGGGTGTGGGATGGATGGGTTTCCCTAGGACGGAGCCTTAGGTTAGTGCCAAGTACAGTGCCAGACTGTGGGCCCTGCTCCTGCACCTCGTCCCTCGGGTCCACGGGCCTGCCCACACGCTGGCTCCAGGAGGATCTTCAGCTGCAGCCGTGGGGACGAAGGTGTGGGGATGCTGGTGCGGGTGAGCAGGTGGGACGATGGCCCTTTCTGGGTCTGGGCCTGGTGTCTGCCTCCTCCTCCTTGGCTCAGGGGCAGAGAGAAAGACCTCTGTCATGGAGGGTGTCGTCAGCCTTGGGGCCTTTCCTAACCATGTTCGGGACATTTTCTTGTCCCCCTGCCCCCTGGAATGTGCTGGGGGTCAACTGAGAGAGTGCCCCGGAGAGGAAATGCAGCCTTAATCTGGGAGGCTAGATTCTAGGGCCGCACCCCGCGTCCCGGGCATCCCTGAGGAGGACCAGGTGAGGCTGCAGGGAAGGACCTTCTTCTGGCATGGCTCTCTCACCCTCTGCCTACCTGGGGAGCTTAGTGGAGGAGGCACAGAAGCAAAGCTCATTTTTGCTCCTTGCCTCTCGTCTGGAGAGGACGGTAGCCAGGGAGGGGGGAGGGGGGAGAGTGAAGCTGGAAAAGACTGCGCCCCTAGGCCCTCTCTTTACCAGAGTTGATGCTCAGAGACTTCAGCCTCCAGTGGCCCCGAGAACAGTGACTTCATCTGCCACCAGTTCTCCACTCCTTCCCAGCTGGGCCAGTGACTGGTTCATACGCAAGTAAAGATGGCAACTCATTCAACAGATACTTACCGAGCACCTTTTATGTACCAGGCACTGTTCTAGGTGCTTAGGATATTCTTGTGCTTCGGAGGGATTGCAGGCTGGGGAATTCCACTTTCCTTTTAGCAGATTTTTTGAACATGACCCTTGGCTACGTTTCCCATCTTCAGCACTGCTCAAGCACCCACACCTGTTTTCTCCTTCCCCGCCGACTGGCAGGTGAGGTTGGCCCTCTCCCTTTTCCCAACACCTTTCTCCATCCACAAGAAACGGCTGTTTCAGGGCCTCCATGCCTTTCCCCTTTCTTTGCCTCGCCTTTTTTTTTTCAAGTGGTATTTTTAGAAATACGTGTAAAAGACCAAGGATTAAGGTCTGCACCTCTATCACCTCTCTCTCACCTCATAAAGCTGGCTCTTTATGTTGCTTTACATGCCTTAATATATGTTTGGTGAAGATTATACATATTACAGATATATACATAATATATATATTTGTTTGGGCGTCCGGTCCTTTCCCAGAACTCCTGTCCAGGCCCATTTCCCTCCTTTACCTTCCACACCATTCCTAGCACGTGTCGGCCACACCCCATGCCTTTTGATCCAAAGAAGGGGAGAAGACAGACTTATTTTAAGACAGATCTATTTTACGCTTTTATTATAAAAGCAAATCTATTTTCAAAATGTGCAATGTCTGAATGGAATCAGCAAATGATACGAGGAGATTGGGCGGCTGCCTCCAGGTCCAAGCCTCTTCCCGGCAGCTTCCTCCTCCCATCCCCCAGTCTGCAAAGGCCCGGGCCCCAGAGCCCACCCAGAGAGCATCTCACCAGGGCGGGACATTCTCTTGGAAGTCCTGGTCTAAGGATTGGATTCCACTGTCAACTCTTGACAACCCTCTAGGGTTACAGGATGTGAATCCTCTCAAAGGAAATGTTTACAGCTGTGTGCACAAAAGTACACCCCTGCGGGCACCCCCGCCATCCCCAGTATGCTCCCGGACCACCTCCCATCACCGATCTGCTGGAAAGGGCAGACAGAATGGGAGCCTGTGCCAAACGGCACCAAGAATCCTACTCCCTGACGGAGCCAGGATACAGTGCAAAGGCCAAAGGAAATGGTTTGGGACCACAGGTCCTTCAGCACAGACACATTCGAGTTCCTTGGACTTCTCACACTCCTTGATCCCTTTCTGGTCTGGGTCACATCTATGACATCGGTCTCCTTCTGTGACCTTTCCTCGGGGGGCTGTTGTTAAGGGGGACGTTGGCTCAGTCTGGCATCCAGACTGCAAAGTCAGCTTCCAGACTGAAGCGGGTCCCACGGACAAGGTGACATCTCAACCTTGCCCAAGAAGACCCCAGGACTGTCCCCTGGTGGGCTGCCACTGGGGTGCTGAACTCCGCTAGCTCAGCCTGCCAAACTGCTTAGCGGCTGACAGAGTAGGCAAGGGGCTCTTGCCTCACAAGGATTTGGGCAGAATGGAAGTCTTCTGTCCAGGTCTGGAATCAAGGCTTTGGGACTGTCACAGAGCTCATGGCCAGCATTTAAAGCCTGATCTCCCAAATTTGACATGTCCTGGCACCCTATTCCCAGCCTAGAGCATCTTGTTATGAAAGAATGGTGCCCAGATGGAGGCCCAGGGCTAAGTGACCCACCGGGGGGCGGGGTGGACAGCCCTGGTTGCTATTCTGGGGCCTTGCCAATTAGCACATTACCTCCCTGATCATTTACCAAGAGGCTGTAATGAAATACTGCTACTGTCACTTTAAAGATTTTTCTGAGGTCGCAAGCTGTGCACACTAGCTCTCCGGCCTTGGTGAGAGGCATGTTCTTGGGGCAGGGCTGACTATAGCAAGACAGGATCGATCCCTTTCCCCTTTAGGCACCCCCCCTACCTGGCAGCTCTTAAAACTAAGGAAAATATGAAATATACATACATATACATATATCTATTTATGCACATACTGGGGCCAATTTGATCTGCTAGTATTAGACAATAAACCATACAAGGACATGTATGATCTCAGTGTCTTTATTTAGTATAAAAGTGACCTTAGAAGAAAAGTTAAGGTTAGCCAAACAGAGGGCATCTCTGTTGGGGGACCAAACATCTGTAGCCGCCCCACAGCATCTTTCTAGCCAACGAGCCCCTCCCCGGCGAGGGGCATCCTGAGTATAGGTGAGCAGCTGCTTTCCCGCTCCCCAGCATTCTTTCTAGATATAGGTACTGAAGAATCCCAGTGAGCTCTGCATTTGTATCTTGCAAGTTTGTATAAACCCGATACAGGAAATAAAATGAATGGTTTGTACAAGTGGCCTGTGTCTCACACTCTGTCCGTGACTGTCTGTGGCTGAGGCTGGCCTTGTGGCTCGTGGCAATTTCCAAGCTTGGCAGAAAAGGGGAGAGGGTCTGGGGTCGGGCCCTCCCTGACTAAAAGCAAAGCTGGGTCCGCGATATGCTGCCCACCGTGCTCGTCTCCTCTGTCCAGGTAATCCCAAATCAAGGCTTGTCCCAAGGTCCTGCGTAATGAAAGTTACCAGAACAGTGTTCAGATCCTAGGAACCTCCCATTGATTTGTCTCTGAGACAGAGGGTAGAAGAGTAAGAGAAGAAAATTAATTCTTAAGTTTCCTCAATTACTACACAATGGCCTATATTTCTGCTTTGGGGTACAAGAAGTTGTATTGATTTGGCGAGGGGCATCAGAAAAGCCACCCAAATTATTCTCATCCAGACTCAATGGTTATCCTTTCCGGATCCTCAGTGTGAAGGCGGCACAATCTGAAATCTTTCAGTGAGCAAGAGTCAGGAAGCCCTGTGAATTCTATGTGGTGGAGAGGAGAAGAGAAAGCGAGTCCAGGATAGCGGTAGGCTGCCTCAGCTGGGCCCCTGCAGGATGTCTGGGGAGAGGTGGAGGCATTAATGGTTCGAGGAAGAGAAGAACACTGAGAAGAGATAGGAAGGCAAGGCTTTTCTAATTCCTGATTTTACCTTGCTCTGGTTCTAAGGGCTGATTTCGAATTCTGGACACCTGTTGTCATTCCTAAAGAGCTAGTAGTGTGTGTGTGTTTAACAAATAATATGACTATTTTTGGGTTTTTGTAACATCATCAGGAGAGCTATTAAACCCTGACGTCCTTTGTGAATCAGACAGAATTGGGACCTCACGACAGAGGTCTCTGGAGCTGGAGGACGGCACGGGACCGCCCGTGGCTCTCCAGGGCCTGTGTCTCTCTCTGCGGCGCCCCCTGGGCCGGAGCCAGCGGCTTGGTGAGGAGGCGGGGTGTGAGAGCACCAGGCCCCGCTGGGTGTCGCTGTCCCCACAAACAAGGGCTGGCTCCTCTTCAAGAAGGAAGCCCGCGGGTCTCTGCCTGCTGCAACACCCGGCCCAGATCAGTGCTCTGATCAAACCGGGCTGGGGTTGTAAAAGGGGGCGGCGGTCAGGAAATGTAAACGACAAAGCACCTAGCAGAATGCCCCTAAAGGAGTGGTGCTCTGTAACAGTGTGGTCCTGTTCTGTTCTCAGAGAGACGCAGGACGGGTTCAGGCAGGCAACCAGGCTTCAGATGGTGCTGCTGCCAGGGACCGGGGGCTACACCACATCTTCCTCATCCTTGAGCCTCCACTGCGTCCTGGTCCTGCTCCTCCTTAGCTGCCTGAAGATGGGTCAAGTCACTAAAATTCTTGAGCCTCAGTTTCCTGGTCCATGAAATGGGGATATTAACCACCACCTTTTGGAGCTCTCAAGAAAGTCAAATGAGAAAATGAATATGAGAAAAACACGTTGAAAACTCCAATTCATTTACAAATGTGAGGCGGTGGTGGTGACATTGTGTGGGCCCCTTGGCCACCTGCAGGGGCACGACGAGGGAAAAGGGAGAATGTCTCCCAACGTCCCCCTCTTCGCTGCCTCCACCGCCTTCGATGAAGACATCTCCAGGGCCCCACCATCCAGCCCTATGAGATGTCGCCCCTGTCCACCTCTATTCCTCCAGCTCCCGCATTCTAGAGCCTACCTCCTCCTCCCTGGGGTTGCCCCCATGAAGGGGCTCCTCTCCAGGACTGTGGGCTCTGTGGACAAGGCCCTCTGGGCCCAACTCCAGCACCCAGCACCTGCCATCGGAGAAACAGGCTGGGAGGGCCCTGTCTGAGGAGAGTTCAGTTCCTCCAAGCTCACAGGTGAGCACCATGGCGTGGGGCGGGGGGGGGAGGTATTCCTAACTGCTATTTTGTACACCCGTGGGAGCAGTTTAGAACCACATTTGAGAACAGAAGTCTTTCATATAACAGCATTTAATAGTATACTATAGTATCCAAATATAGTAATATTAGTAACAATATTACCATAGCTACACTAGAAGAGT